ATATAATGATAGAAAATTTAGAATCACTTGCAATTACATTACCATAGAAATAAATGTCTCGCTACTCGTGAGAAAGACGAAAGAGAAGATACAAGACAGTTGAGACTGTACTGATAAAGATGGGTGGTCCCACCTCACTTTGCAAATGAATCATACAATAAATTTTTTTTAATATAACATATAGAAATGAAGATTCGAACTCACAATTTTTATTTTTTTATTCCATTTCACTTTTAGTTTTTAGGATTCATGGTGCCTCCAATTATATGTGCAGAAACAAAACGATTTTTATTTCTTTTGTTTTTTCCGCAAAGAAAAACGATTTTTGTTCTCTCGAAGGACGCACATTATTATATTTGGATTTATCCGCCTCTCATAGTCTCTTACGTTTTTATCTTTTATTTTTTCTATTTTAGTCTTTCGTTATTATTATTAAATAATAATAGAATTATGTTTGGTAAGTATATATTTTCTAAAAGACAGCCTCAATAAATCATATTAGAGTTCATTATAATAAAATAATATTTCTATTTATATTTTAAATAAAATCGAAAAATAGAGGTGGGTAACATCAATAATTAAGAGGTATGGATTGTGTGAGCCTTTTAACATCCTCAAAGATTGCTTCATGCCTTACCAGTTTAGCTACAGTTATGTTTACCTCTAGCAATAGTTGTATATCAAATTTAAAGAAAAAACAATGTTGTCGAATTGCATTAATAATAAATAACAATTTTGATTTTTTTAGTTACTTGTAAAATATTGCATCAATTAAATAAATTATGCTTTTACCAAAAGAAAATTATATGATAAGTAATTAATAAATTTATTGTATGTACGTATGTATATTATAATTAATAATATTTCACTTTGATTAATTTGAAATGGTAAGTTATTTCAATTAAGAAGACACATGTAATGTTGGAGAAATACTACGCTATATTAATAATTTTATAATCAAATACATCTTATACTATATGAAATATATATATTTTTAATTTTAGTACAACGTGGGAAGTGGAGATTCGAATTCATAACCTCTTGATTGGAGATAAATGTCTTAATTAATAACCTCTTGATCGGAGATAAATGTCTTAACTAATTGAACATTCAAATTAGTATAAGTATTAATTAATATATTTTTTCATATGAATAGAAATTGAAAAGTATCGTGAGAACATTAAAAACATTCTTTATGGATCCGAAACTCCAACTATGTGCTATTTAATTAAAAAATGTTATAATTAAATAAAATCGAGGTTAATTATATCAAAATTAAATTAAGAAAACATCCTATGAAATAAAAATATTTAACAATTAAACATAATTATTTTATAAATTTATAATAGTCATGAACTTAACTCGATTGGTTAAAACACTTGTATTCACTCAAAAGAGTGTGATTTTGAATCTCCATCCTTATATATTGTTGTACTTAAAAAAATATATATTATAATATCATATTTTTAATTTATTTTTAAAATAATTTTACTTCATACCATTTCACTCAGATTATAAAACTTTAAAAAATTAAAAGATGTTGTACTTAAAAAAATATATATTATAATATCATATTTTTAATTTATTTTTAAAATAATTTTACTTCATACCATTTCACTCAAATTATAAAACTTTAAAAAATTAAAAGAAAGCAGGGGTAGTATATTAAAAAGTGATATTGATTAAATTAGATTAGAATAAACCTTTAGACTAAAAAAACCTTAGAACCACAATAATTATTTTATAAAATATCAGTATTGTTGTTTAGGTTTTCCTTAGTTTAAGTTGCATAGCACGAAATCTTTACAAATGCTGATGAATCATCTCCACAAGAGTTAGACTCTAGCAATCCAAAAGAATACTAGGATCAATCACATTCAGCCAATGAAAACTTTCTCGATGTAAAAATCTTTATTTTGTCCAGACTCCTATGAAAGTAATCTTATAATCATCTATGATGTTTCTTTTTTTTGTTATTATTAGTATTTTTAGAGAATGTTACATTACAAATATACATGACTGTAGAATGAATATTTAAACTATAAAGAAGGTTTACCAATATCATACTAAAATATGCTGCAAACAAGATGTGTTATTTCTCATAGTTTAAGAATACTTGGTCTTTTAAAATCTTAGAATGGAATAAAAAATCTAAAATTTGTTTAGATCAAATATGATCATGGAGCTTTTCTCGATCCAAGAACATTTATCAAAAAAATTGTATTTCTCAAAAATTATAAATAAAAAACAAGAAAAACGAGAAATAAAAGAACAGAAAATAAGAAATGAAAATGGTATAAAATGCATTCTAAATAACCTTCTACAAGTCACATTTAAAACGGTCGTTTCCGTTGTTTCTTCTGTTGTGTGGTGGTATTGTGCTTGTTTGTTTATTTCATCTCAAAAAAGGGAACAAAGGATGTCAATTTCAAATCATTTCTATTAATAATTCTCTATAATATGTCATAACACGCCACATTTATAAACACATTGCAATTAAGGTAGCTACAAAAACAAGAATCACAAATTAGAAAACATACAACTCAACTTTCAAAATTATAAGCTAAACTTTAAATAACAGAAAACGAAACAATAAATTGGATATCGAGGTGGAATATAGTCTTTTCGTCCTCATGTCTCTTTATAAACACCCCAAAGACAAGGAATCATAATTTAGAAAATTCCAACATTCTATTTTTCATTAAAAAAATGTGGAGTTCATCAGCATCTTCCTCAGCCTTCACGTTTTTCTCTGTCATTTTAATTTTGTCTGCCATGGGTGTCTACTTGTTATTCTGTTGAACGAAACTTTCTCCAATGTTTGTCAAGCAACAATTAGCCAAATTTCCCCATCTCTGAAGCCATCTTCACCCCTAGCAATTCTTCTTTCCTACCAACTCTCAATTTATACATCAGAAACCCTCGATTTCAGACCCCCCAAACACCAAAGCCACTTGCCATTGTCGCGGCGAGACACGAATCCCATATCCAAACTACTGTTATTTGCGCCAAACGCGTTGGTCTACAAATCAGAATCCGTAGTGGCGGCCATGATTACGAAGGCCTTTCCTACATCTCCCGACAGCCTTTCATCATCCTCGACCTGTTCAATCTCCGAGCCATTAATGTCAATATCACTGACCAAAGCGCTTGGGTTCAAGCAGGGACCACCATGGGGAACTTGGTCATATTCTAAACCGACAACAAATGGGAGAGGATTTTGTGTTCATAAGACTGATGCTACACGCTTCCAAAGGAAAGGAGAAAGGGGAGATGATAGGGAAGGCGTCGTTGGTGGGATTGTATCTTGGGCCAGCGGAGAAACTTTTAGAGCTCGTGAATCAGAACATACCCAGTTTGAAATTGCAGAAACAGGAGTGCACTGAAATGAGTTGGATTCAATCGGTTCTATTTTGGTTTAATTTTCCACACGGGACGGCCCCCGAGGCGTTACTAAGTAGGGAAATTCCATCTTTGCCTTTTCTCAAACGGAAATCGGACTATGTGAGAGAACCCATTTCGAGAGAAGGGATAGAAGCGATTTGGAAGGCGATCATTGAGATCAAGGAAGTGGGTCTCGTTTGGAATCCTTATGGGGGGAGGATGAGCCAGATTTCAGAGGTAGCCACACCATTTCCACACAGAGCAGGAGTGAAATTCAAACTCCAATACTCTGCGAACTGGAAGGAAGAGGGCGATGAAGCGGCTGAGGAGAACATTGCATTGGTAAGAAGATTGTACGAAGCGATGACACCTTATGTGTCTAAAAATCCGAGAGAGGCATTCCTAAATTACAGGGACATCGACGTGGGAAGCAACGCTCATTGGAGCGTGAAGACGGAGGTAGATCCTGAAAATTTTTTCAGAAATGAACAGAGTATCCCTACTCGTTGATATTGTGAATGGATTAATAAGATGAACATCTAATAATACTGTATATATCTTGGACGTCTCATTATGAGTCTAATTATGATTTTGTTACGCATTTGAGCAAATCAGTTGGCTTGGCACCGCTTTGAAGTTCTGATTGCTACAACTTGTATTGCTAATAATGGAAAGCCTTATTGAATAAGAAATAATACTGTGTTGAACAGAAGAAAAATAGCGTCGGTAACTATTTATGTTTATTGTTTCTTATTTATTAGAAACGTTTTCAAAATCTTGTATAAATTCTGGAAACAACAAAGTCGGATTTCTTGTTTTTGATACACTTTTTTTTCAAAACATAAATAAAAACATTATTTTACCATTTTGACTTATAAAAAATGCATAATAAATATTTAAAAATAAATAAAATGTATAACTTTGGATTGTTTAATTTAAAAAAATTAATATTCAGATAAAACTTTTACTTTTTTTTAAAAAATTTAAAATCGTAGAAAACAAGAAATAACAAACTGTTATCGAACATATTTATGTTTATTTTTTCAATAAAAAAACACAAAATAAAAACATGCAATTCTATATTTTTTATCAAAAAATAAAAATCAAGAAACAAAAAAGTTCATGAAATCCAACCTCACAAGCAGAAGTAATAAAACTATGAAACACCATAGTTGAATTCATCACTTGGTATTTGAAAGCAACTTAATTATTTGTTGGGAGAGAGACATCTTAGATTTTAATAGAATATTTAAATTTATATACATGTTAAAATTTTGTGACTAAATTGTTATAAAATTACAAAGACCAAATATATTTTCTAATGTTGTATCCTTTGCCTCGAGGCTTAATCAGACCGTTCCCAACTTCCGGTCCTTTCACCGGTGACCGTAACTGTCAATAGCGAAGCAGGCACGTGTCACATAATTTTTTGTAAAAAAATTTAAAAAACCCGCGGGGAATTCGAGCTGAATGGAGCGTTGTGCTTCAAGGCCCACAGCTTCTAGCCCAACCCAAAAAGAGGGCCCAAAACTGGGTCGGATCTTGGGCAGTATAAAAATGCGCGGGGCTTGAACAAAGACTGCAAAACAAAATGGAGGGCGCGACAGAGTCCGGTGCCCAGGATTTGCAGGACAGCAATTGCTCCTTCGTTTGGGACGAGAATTCTCGCTTGTACTTCCACTCCAGGTTTCTTCAATTATCCTATCAAGTATCAACAAAATGATTTCGTTTAGTTGCTTTTTCATTGCCAAATCCATGAATATCTGCACAGCAATCTTTTGGATAAGGAAATGTGTAGTTTCCGAAGATTCAGATTATTTAAACTATACTTACAAAGATAGTGGAATCGATCGAATTAAAATACCTTTATGGCAAAAGGTTTAGTCGATGAGTAATCTTATTGTCTGTAACATGAAGTTGCAATCAATTTGTAGTCATTTTGTTGATTTCTTGTTTAATAAAGAATTGTCATATATTGAAATTTTAGCTGAATTTCAATAATTGTCGTACTGTTATTTTCTGTGACATTTTATCGTACTGTTATTCTGTTATTTTTTTCCTTGAAGGATGTCGCCGAATTTCAATATTTCTGCTTATAGGTTAGCCATATCAACTCTATTTTCTACTGCAGATTATTACTTACTTGCGTTAACTTTCAGCAGTAGTGGATTTTATCATGATCCTGTTGCCGGTTGGTACTATAGCAGTCGAGATGGTTCTTATTACAAATTTGAAAATGGAAGCTATGTTCTTCTTCAGTTTGACCAGGTACCATAACTTGGTTGTTTATATGGTCATACTCAATGCCCTTCGTATTGCCTGTGGTCTTCTTCCGTTTTGATCTTTTGATTTGATATCACTAATTTCTTACTTTTTGGACATCGGAGCAGGGTGAAGAATGTAAGACGTATCTTGATAATTCTGTTAAAGGCGGACCATGTAGACAAGTGTGTAATACCGACAGTGAGGATCACTCTTCATTTGAGGCCAGCAAATATGATATCTCTAAATGCAAAGAAAGTGACTGTGACGGACTACCATTAGGTTAGTTAGCTTCAGCTGCGTGTTTTCAGTTAAAGATCAAGTTTGGCTGTTACCATGTAATTGCTAATTATTTTATTATACTAGCTGATAGATCAAATAGATTATGGTTTCAAGTGAAGTTTCATATGGCTGATAGATCTTTAGTTGGCTTGTGGGGATATCTCATTCTCATCTCCCACTTTTTTTGTATTTCCCTCTTTTGATAATGAAAGTTTTGTTTCTTATTAGAAAAAAAAGGGTGAAGTTTCATATGCCTGGTTTGTTTTGGGACCTGTAGTATGTATGCTTTGGATGACTGTTTAAATATAGATCTTCATCTTATATTGATCCAGACATTTTTATTTAAAAATGTGTCCGGAGCCATTAGTTTCCATATGTGGATCTTGTTTAACCCATTGTTTAATAATTTCATCAAGCTAGAATGATTGGATCAGGCTTTGCTTTCATCAAATCCTAAATATATATTCTGTATTTAAAATCATTTGTCAAGGGCATGATAGACCTCTTTATTGTGACTGCTGAATCATCACTAGTTTTCCCCTACTGTTATCAAGTTGATCACATCTCGTATGGAAGATTTTTCTAAACTCCACTGCCATTTTCTGCAATGCCATTGATGCTGTTGCTTTCATGACTATGCCTGCTGCAACATTTCTTTAGTTGGCTGTGGATGCACATTTGATGACCTCTCACTGTATGAATGGAGGATAATTTATCATATACTAAGAGGAAGCCGGATGCTGTCTTTAGTACTTAACTGACGAATAATGTCACTTTTTTTTTTCATTTTTAACAGAAGAAACAGAGGAGGGCAATAATGTTCATGAGCTTGAGAATCCTCCCACATCTTTGTGGTATACTACATTTGGATGAGATGTTAATTCAATTTATAGCTGTTTTTTGTTCTCTCTTTCATATACACTTTCACCTTTTTAGGTTAGAAGATACGCTTATTGATCTTTTTTTGTCCGGTTATTCCAATTCAGAAGTCATAGCCACTAATGACAACACTTCACCTATGCCTTCCACAACTAATGATGATAATAACTTTCAGTCATCAAGCGATGGTGTGCTCTAACTCTTCTCTTGAAGTCGAGAAGGCAATTTAGTTATAATTTAAAACTAAAATGAGTGTTGTTTTTGTTCAGGCTATGATGTTACTCAGAGGACGGAAGGTGAATGGTTCCAAGATGAAAATCATGCAATGGTGAATGCAAGCGAAAGAGTATTAGATGGAGGTAATGTAACTTCACAAATTGAGAAGGTAATTTAATTATTGTTGTGAAACTAAAATTACTTTGGTTGTGGTTCAGGCTATGAGGATATTCAGAGGATGGAAGGTGAATGGTTCCAAGATGAAAATCATGCTACAGTGAATCCAAGCGAAAGTGTATCAGATGGAGGTAATGTGAATTTACTAATCGGCTGCCTGTGTCTGAAATTTGAGGTCAATTATAGTTTAAGTATGCTAGTCTTAATGAGACTGTTGCATGCAATATTTTTCTTTTTATTGTGTATCTTATATATCTTTCTAATAAATTTGATTATTTTTTAATTGCTACAATCATTTAGATGTCTAAAAATATTTTGTAAAGTATGAAGTAACCTGTGATGCATTTAATTTGGAGTACATTAGAAAATATCAGCAACAATTTATTAGGAATGTAGAAATATGCATCAATGATTATTTTACTTTCACCATCATACATGTGATTTAATTAGTGAAATTTTGAGCTAGTTAACAAATTTTAAATTCATTTTATATCATATCAAGTTCTTTCTCAATGTTAATGTTAAATTTATGTATTGTTTTATGTCGTAGATGACACATTATCATCAATTTACTTGGTCATTATTGTAATATATTGCAATGAGTATATACGATTAATATTATTTTTATTAGTCACATGAAATAAAACCATTCTGAAATTTAGAAATAATACATATAGATTATTGTACTTTTGTTGAAACGTTTTATTTCATTCTTCTAATAATAAAGATTTACCTACTTTATTTTATTTTTTTGAACTTTTCTATATCTTAAGTATCATTTCTTAATTTCGATATCAAAAACGTTGAATCATTTTTTATCACCTAATTACAGTTAGCACTTAATATTTAGTAAGGAAATAAAGGCATCCTCATTTAAAGTTTCCTGACAATTGTGCTTATGCAAGAATAATGACCGTTATACACAAGTACATGCTTGCTTCTTTTTTTTTCTCTTGCCCTGTATGTAATCTCTTGCAAGACGTGTAGAGAGAGTAAAAGATGTTCATGCCGTAGTACGTTACCATCGATTATATCATCCATGTTAAAAAATCTTGTTTGTTTTGAAGGTGTTTCCACAGATGAAGATAACTGGAAAGCCCAGTATGGTCAAGTCACTCATTATGGGGAAGAAACAACTCCCAAATTGTCTGTTGTGGACCTCTGGGAGTGGTCGACAGTCTCAGAGTCCAGGCCAGGTGGAAAAGGCAAGGTTACGAGGTTGGTTGGAAGACTTGTGAGAAAGTCTGCAAAGCTTCATCCTTCAGTGTCTTCCAATGGCACTCTTCTTAAAACCGCTCCAATTTCTGAAGTACATCTAGATTTGGTACGAGTTGCAACAGGTGAGAACTGCCTCGTGCATATGGCTCATTTATAAATCTTTGGTGAATCGATGATGGTCTACAAGTTATTTTATTCTATTTTACCATATTCCGTAACTTTGGGAGGTTGGAAAGCTACCGTTTTGTGACGATCTGAAATTTACTTTCAGGGAAAATCTATAAGTTACACAGCCCTAGTAAGAGGTATTTGGCGTCCATGTCAAGTTTTGATTCATCCAACCCTACAGAAGACTGGGGTTTCCCTGATTTATTAGACAGGTTACCCGACCTCGCTAATAACGAAGCAAAAGTTGCATGCACAGGCATTGTTAGTGCGGCTGTATCTACGTTGGGAGATAAACTCCTCGTGTCTGAAAAGGTAAACTTTATATTACTCGGGCTAGTCAATTGTCGCTGCGACCCCTGTTTGACTTGTTTTAAGATGTTGAAAGCCAAATAAATTCAATCTTATCGATGCTCGATCATCCTACTCGAACTCCACTTATTTCAAAACTATCATCTCAGCGTTCAAGCCAAAATCTATATAGAGACAGAGCTGCCGAGAGAAGGATTCTTCATGGTGGTTTCGGGGTGGGTCCTGGACAGAAAAATTCTGCCATTGATCGTGGTGATCTACCATCATCGCCCCCCTCTGGCTGTTCTGAGAGCGCTGCAGCTGAAGCTTTGAATATTTCATTTGGAGCTGGTAGTTACGCACGAAAAATCTTAAAAAGCATGGGCTGGAAAGAGGTATGTCGAATTTAATATTTGCAACTTTATAAAATAGTTAAAATTATTCCCCCTTAAATAAATTATGAAAAAAACAAGTACAATTTTAAAAAACCGAAAACTAAAAGCAGAATCATGATCAAATTTAAAACTGAAAACTAAAATGATTTAAAAGGCCACTTATTTGCAACGTTGACAGGGAGAGGGTCTTGGCAACAGCACAAAGGGCATGGTGGAACCACTTGAAGCTGTTGGAAATATTGGGAATGCTGGAATAGGCTGGCCTCGGGGAATCAAAAAACTCGATACCAAGTAACAACTCGTCAAATTTAACCTTTACAGTATACAGTAGGTCATCTCAACTGCTATATATATATATATATATTTTTTAAATGTTGATGTTTCCCCATCCTCCCTGTATGGTAAATAAATCCGAACAGGGTTCGACTCATGTAGTCTTCTTACAGCTAAATTGCATCAATCAATGACCATATCAAAAAAATGAAATTAAGCGGTGAGGAGATAAAATAAATGACAATACAGGATTAAGATTTATCCTCATTTTTCACCACTATAAGCAGAACCGAAACGGATGATGCCTTTTCTCATCTCTGCTAGAATATAGCAAAAATTCAACAGGCAAGAAACAAAATGTTACAACAATGTGGGAAATCGAATGTAATAAATATTATACAGGAGAAAAGCGTTAATATGATCTGATCTGATCTGCTGCAAAATTTTGAAATCAATTTGATCTCAGCTTTCAGCATCACCCGAAACAATCACCTCATCTTTGGGCTGCTGCTCGGTTGGTGAATCAACTTTATCCTCCACCATTGGGCTCTTCGGCTGTAAAGTTTCCTTCAAGCTTTGAAGTTCGCGATCCTTCTCTGCTAGCTTCTCTTGCAAGACAATGACCTGAATCCACGAAACAAAAATTATAAACCCCGAAATGTGTGTTTAACCTTGCCTTCTATTTGTTTTGTTTTAGAGAAAATTGGTTAAATGTTTTATCTGCAAGTATTGAAAGAAAGTATTTTTTTAGCTGTTTTTTTTAGAGTTTTTTAACCAAACACTACCTTTTTTTTTGGCAAAAAATTACTTTTAGTAACATGCCAAACACACATACAAACAGCCGATATAGAAGGAAGATGAGTACCAATTCATTTGATCTTTCAACGTCATTTGTCAGCCCCTCCATATGTTTCTGCAAGGCTGCATGGTTTTGAGGGGGAGTTGTTATATCATGGTCGCAAGTGGATAAAATACAGAAAATTTATTGAAAATCCACAAGTCCAAATGTGAGCTCGAGAAAATCATGCAAACACAAACACGAGTTTCATGATAGATACTAACCTTCATACTGACTTCGAAGTCCTGTATTTTGAGATTTCTGCAAAGCAAGCTTCATTCCTAACTCATGCATCTACAATTCAGAAATGAGGTGAATGATTTTATATATTGATACTTAATTTGAGCTAATCTAAGGATAGCTCATCAAATTATCAATAGGTTAAGGCACTAGAAACTTCTTTGAAGTTACCGAAGAATTAAAGAGATGAACAGAAATCGAACTGTTAGTGACAAGGTCAAAACAATAAGATGATGATGCACGATGGACATGAAGTAAATAAATCGTATACCTTTCCTTCAGCAGCTTGATTTCCAATCTCCTCATTTTCCTCTTGCAGAGTCCTACATTTAGCCATCAGCATTTTGCCCATCTTGCTAGATGGAGTAAAACTGACCGCAGCAATGTTATCTTGCAGCTCCTTCACCTTTTTGTCTTTCTCCTCAACCAAATTCTGGATGTCATGAAAAAAATCAAATAATAGTCGTTCAGGAAGCTTGATTATGAGATGCCATCACTCAGACTCAGAAGCTTAAAATTCATTGTATGCCATCATCATAAAATTAAAATACAAATGAGGAGGTGGCTATCTTTGGGGGCTGTATATCATGTAATTGGCCTTCTTATCTAGGCAAGTCGTCAGGAGGAAATCTGGAATTTCCTGGTTTTGGGAAGCGATTTACTGATCTGCAAAGTGGGTCGAGGCTTGCTCGCTAATCTTACGACTTGAAGGGGTCGTGTACAGTATGTGAACTGGAAAGAACACTATGCTCTCTTGAGATAAAGAAGGTTTAGGCACCTCAGAGGTACAAAATTTAGGAATATTGCTCTGTTTCAAATGACTAGGGAGATTTTTTAATGTGCCCAATGTTTTTTCAGCATGAGGAAAGTGTGAATTTGATCGAAAGGATCGGTGATTTCCAGCTTTACTCTCCTTCCATGGACATAAGAAAATGGTTCCTTGAAGCTTCCGGGTGTTTCTCTATCAACCCTTTACGATTCTCCCATTTTGAAAGAGGCAATTCTTCCAAAAATATAAATCACGTGGAAACAAGAAAATATCGAAAAATTGTCCAACTTGTTTCCTTTCCAATGTTCTGACAACCCCATAACTTCCCCCTTGTAATTTACTCATGAATTTGCCCTCTAAATAGGTTTATGGGCCTCCCTAGCATCTGGCTTCCATTTATCTTACTGTGGACGAAGCATGAGGAAGAGGTGGATAAATGACAAATGTTAAGATCGTTAATTCAAATATGGTGGTCACTGGTCATACATGACAAAAATCCTTATCCTAGTCAGATTTTAAATCAACTTGATTGAACAAAAAAATGCATACAAGAGACATCAACCATATCAATTTTGGCAGTGGATGTAAAACAGACCTTCAGACGAGTAAACTCTTCATGTATTGCAGGATCTAACAATAATCTCCTTGCCTGTTGAAGTTAGTTGTAAGCAAGATAGTGAGACTTGGAGATAAAGAGAATTATAAACAAGACGCCAGAAGGTCAATGGAGCAACAATTGAAGTAGATTTCTGATATTACATCACAATTAGCACGTTTAAGCAAATTATCTGAATGAAATGACAATATATAACAGTTGTATTTGCTTGAAAAGCTTCATTCATTTCCATGGGAAATTGTATTCTTTCACCTAACAAAAGCATTCTATTGCAGACATGATCAATGAACTCTTTACAAAACTTCTAAAAGCAAGTGAAATTCTTATCAAAATAGACTTTTTTTTTTAATCACCAAGGAATTGAGGCTCATTCCTTGCACTATGCTTATGGCTTGCTCCCACTAATTTTCGGACAGGTTTTGTCAAGAGACAACAAAGGTATACATGCAGGCTCGAATTCAAACATCTCAAGCCTTTCCCACTATGGCCACTTTGGGATGGTCAAAATTGTTGGTCACCCCTTCTCCTCACATTAAACGATTTAAGAGATTTCTATGATCATTAACACATAAATTACTGGTTCCGTAGTTTAAAGATGATGGATGTAAAAACAAGAACAACCATATCATATTATCATAGTTTAACTAGAACTAGCTATAACTAATGTAAACAAATTAATTCTTTGCTTCAAACATTATTTATAGAAGGAAAAATGGAAAGGAAAAAGCATATTAGAAAAGGCTGTGCAAGTACATCAAAAGACAATAAATTCAACAATGTTGTTCACAAATAAAATTGAAGTTTCATTTTTACCTGCATTGATGGCGGCTTCAGCTGCGCTTTCAATTCTCGGACGGCAGCCTGGATATTTTAACAAAATTAGAGAACCATGATCGTGAAAATACCAAAGTTTCAAAACCAATCAGAAAGAAATTGTGAAACAAGTGGTATTATAAGATGAAAGCATCTCCATTGCATAAATCACAAGAATAAGTATTAGCAGAAATGTTAGCATCTGATACCGAGCTATACTAGCAATTAAAGATTAAGCCATTCTCTTCTTGATTAAGCCTAGACCTAGAGTCTTGTCCTGTATACGCATGACTGCATGAGAAGCTTCAAGGAACTGTGTTGTACTGCCATTTACTTTATATTATGTTTTCATACAAAATGAAGGTTCCAAGTGAAAAATTTATTGGTTGCCCTAAACCACTAAGGTTCATAGAGACCTATAAGTTATCAAATGGTGAAAATCATGCACGACACACAAAATATATTCCATATTACTATCCAAACACCTCACATATTCCATGGTAGAAACAAATAAATTTGTCTAAGTCTGGAAGGAAAGAAATGCAAAACTTGCCTTCAACTCTGCAATCTCCTGTTCTCGTTTTGCAAATGTAACAATAAACGCAGCTTCCTTCTTCTTTGCCTTTTCTAGCTGAATGATGAAACACATATTACATTTTGCATGACAAAATATCACGTTCCTGACTAAAAAGCATTATTACGTTCCAAAAGAGTCTACAAACCAAACATATGAAAGAATAATCAACCAACCTGGTCTCTTAGAGACTCCTCTGAGAACTTCAGGGATTGTAGATAACTGATCACATATTTAGGTTCTACAGAGAGACACCAATTCTTTACGAGCAGGTCATATTGGATGACAAAAAAACAGTGTTTCTTAGAAAAATAACAAACTAACCAGGGGAAGCCCCAGAAGGAATGAAATTCTCATTCTGAAATGTAGAAATCCATTTCTGAACTTCAGACTTAGCAGCTTCAAGCTCTGTCTGAAACCAAGGTCAACCCAGTAAGTAATTGAACTACGTATTTGAGAATCCTTGCACAATGCTACTGTACATTGTAAGTGGCTATCCAAGCAAAATGTCAGAACAGTAGTACTACAGATCATAGTTTTTTTTTTTTTTTTTTATATATTTACCAAGAACCATGATTAGTTTACAATTCTAGTTGATTATGACATTAGCACAGGTTTTAGTAGGATTTCTATTGTTATTCTAAATAGAAACCAATGTATATTAATCTCTCAACTAAGCACGTATTTATTACACTGTTTTAGGTTATGTGTTTCATTTAAAACACGAAAGAATTGAATATTAGACTTGTAAGGTGCAAGTCAAGAACCAAATAACAAAATAACAGAATTCCTAATATTAGATTCGTAGGCATCGAATATAAAAGATACAAAACATCGATTACATCTCCAAGAAATACTAAGCCATGTTCATGAGAAAACTGAACAAACAGTATGAATAGACCGACAATGAAGATTGAAGAGTGAAGAGGTGAAGTTACGATAAGATAACGAACAAACATACCCGGCATGTTGCAAGTGTATCCTCGCAGCTTTTAAGACTGCACCAAAAGTTCAGATTATACATGTTAGAAGGAACTTGAAGCATCAGTGCCTTTCAACAGTACACAATATAGATATTTGATATTTCTAGAAAAATAACAAAGTAACGAAATAATAAAGTTGAATAAACAACTAACTAATGCCAATAATTTCGAAACAATTATCAATCACCGTAGATTATACAATACCTCTCACGAAGAGACAGAATCATTCCTGTCGCTACACCCGGAGCAGTTTCTTCTACTTTAGAGTTTGCCTATATTGAAGCAATTGGAGCCGCTAGTTACATATTTTCATCATACTAATCATTAAATTAAGTGAAAGTCGATGCAATAATTTTAGCTCGGAAAGAAAACTAGCGAATAAGTAATTCCAACAAAGTAAATGATATATAAGGTAGAAATACCTTTTTGGAGCCAAAGTAGTCATCCTCGTCATCTTCGAGATCGCCAAAACCTCTCTTATTTCCTAAATTTCATAAACATAGCACAAAGCAAACATCTGTAAATATAAGCCAATCACACACCAACATTTCGTTGCAAAGAATGGAAGCTCAACCTGAATGCCTATTGCTGTTCGTTCCAGTGAAGTCGCCTCCAAAATCGTCATCCTGAAAAAAAGGAAGAAATCAGAGAGAAACTTTGAGAAACAAACCCCTAGAACTCGCGTAAAAAGCACATCGAGCAGTGAAAAGAGTGAGGCGGAGGAACTTACATCGTCGAGATGAGCGTGCGACGCCATGAAGTAGCAAACCCTAGCAAATTGTGCTTCTCACCAGAAACTGCAGCCAGGCGCGCGACCACCGCCGACGACGAGGGAAGCTCGCTGAGAATTAATCCGAAAAGAGAGGGCGATGTCACATTCGTAAACACATCTTTCATGAATCATTCGGCTTCACAATGGAGCGACATTTTTCCTCCGCTCTTTTTCCCTCCTTCTCTCGTTGAAAAGGCCGTTCAAAGCCCAATTCAGCCCAGGATCTTTTAAGAGGCCCAGTTTAGGAAGTTCAACGGCCCACTGAAACTAAAGGCCATAAGCCCAGATTCTACCACTACTATTTGAATGTTATTTTTAATGAACGTTACTTTTAATGAGTTAAAATAACTATTTCAAAGGTTATCTCAATGTCACTTTTAGGTCATAATTATGACAGGAGAATGCCTGGTAAAACGACAAATATCACATGTAATATAACCCTCCAATATGTTACGTGCCTAGCATGGTAATATTAATGATATTGGTGATACGCACGGTAATATTAATGATATTGGTGATACGCTTGCTTACACCTCCTATCTAAAATTAGGTGAAAAGTATAGTTTCAACCCTCATACATTATGTATCAATAAAAAAAAAAGAAAACTCAACAACTAAAATTGAAATCGTCCAAAGCCTTACTTTTGGTTTTATTTAGATGTACGGAAAATTTCTTATTCTCTTTGATATCATATTTTAAACGATCTAGCATGATTCCTTTTTTTTTTTTATCAGAACATAAGTTTTATCTCAAAACTAACTAACAATGAGAAAAGTAGTCTATATATATTATAAACGTTGTTAGGTCCCCTTGTCTTTTCAAGGTGGAATTCTTTAACACTAATGAATAGGTTCTCAATCCTAACAACTTCTTGTTAAAATCTAAAGGTAATTTTGCCTTTTTTTTTCCTTGAGAAAATTACCCTACTTGTTATTACTTCAAAAAAAGGAAAAGTAACAAAAAGCAAAGACTTAATGGTAATTTTGGAGTCCTCTTAAAGTCACCTTATCTCTTTCCTTCTCCTACCTTGTAATCTTCTTTCTTCAAGGTCGGTGGATGATTAAGCAAAAGCAATCACAAAAGCTTTTGACGGTTCAAGAATTGACTAATTCCGTTTATTAAAGTATGAAATTATAATTTTTTTGGAGGGTGAAGAAAAAATATTAAAAAGGAGTTCTTTCTAGTTAAATTCCAAGTTCCTTTCTCTTCAATGAATTTCCCTGCATTTATCTCCATCTTTTCGAATTTGCAATATTTTAATCCCAATATTTAATTTAATTTCTAATAAATCTTGGACAGCGTTTGGATTTGATTTTAATCTCCCTTGAATGTCGGCAAGGAGGGAGTATGTTAAGATTAAGAATAACAGTATCATAATAATCGTTTTCAATTTTATATTAATTGAAACCTTTTTCATTTTTGTAATTTAAAATTAAAATCACTTTATGTTTAGATATGATCATACGTAAAGACAAGCAACCTTTAATCCAAAATCGAACAACACAGAGATCTATGCGGGATTAAAATAGTATAATTAAAATTAATATATTTTTAAAAATGGGAATTGTTAAAATAAACAAATAATAATAGCAATAATAATGAATTATTATTGATAATTGATATCCACATAGACCATCATGTAACTAATAATGGTCTACACGTTAGATGAGTAATCAAAGGCATACATTGGCTTTTGCTTTGTTCCCATTCTCGCCCGTGATTGGCTCATGCGTTGCGAGCCCCACGTGTGGGACCACACGGTCTCCCACGATTGGCAAGTAGCACGTGTGGACTAAGCACTCAGCCAATTTAATATCATTATCTGTTTGGGCAAAAACTTTTCCAAAAATCTTCATGGTTAATCAGAAAGGGGTTTAGGTTAGAATCCAACCAAAATGATGTCTCTCAAAATTGGGATTCAAACTTTCGATCTTTTGATGATGATATATATTTAGGATCATCATTTTTACTCCTCAATTAATTTTATAGGATAATTTCTTAAAAAAATAAAATTTTACAGAATAATTATTATTTGTCCTACAATACTATTTCACTGTCGAAAAGATTCAATAGAATTTCAATATCTGAAATAGATGATTATCTTTAAATTTAAAGTTTGAAATTCATTTCTTTAAAGTCTCCCTACTTTCTTTTCCACTTATCTTAGTGACCACTATGATGCAAACCCATGATTACGGATTATGAAGGATAAATGTTGATTTTAGCTAAAATAAATGCATTCATTTAGTTCTAGAGCTTTTGGTTCTTAATTTTCAACATCAAATACATGGTTCTTTTCCTTATTTTAATACACCGTAAAAATATGATTTAACCATATAAGATTTATAGTAAAACATATCAATATAATTTCTTATACATCTAAATTCACTTTATTTTTCTCTTGGCTACAATAAAATGTGAGGTGAGAAATTGAATCTTGACCTTAAATAAGATAATTAGCGTCGAATTGGCATCATTCACTTGTTTTGTTTCGATAAATGATTTTTTTTTTTAATTTGGTTATCCATATGGTAATTTATTATAAAAATATTTGTTTCTTTCTTCTTCTTCTTCTTTTTTTTTTGCAGGGCAGGTGTCTCTGAGTCAGATTTTGGTTTGGTATCTCTTCAATGTGAAAGGAGAAGTTGGTGTGTGTAAGAAGAAAGATATATAAAGATGATTAAGTCTTCAAAATGTTTAGAATTTTTGTCAAACGTCAAGAAAGGGAAGACAAGGCAGAGAGAATGGTGGGATTGGTTCTTGTCTTCATGTCTCTCGTATTATTTCACCAATTCCCTCCTTCAATTACTCAAAAATTAAATTAATTTAGTTTAATAATTACAAATCATATTCCATACAATTTGTCATTTTATAAAATATTCTTCTTGCATTTTAAAAGTATTTTCATACATTAAGGCTATTTGTGAAACAAAAAAGAAAAAAAACCATACCCTTTTGGTAAATGTTCTTTCATTAATTTTAACAATATTGGTGTACGTCGTTATTTTATATGTATAATGTGTAGAAATTAGGTTAAAATTAATGATAGAAAGAGGATTTCTTTGAAAATTCACGAGTTTTTCGAGGGATTGTTTGAAAATATTTTTAAAGTATAGGAGTATGATTATTAAAAGAATGAGCCAACTTATTAGCGTAGTTATAATTATCTCTAAGAAAACAAAGTAAAAAGTAGATGAAGAAGAAAGCGAAGTAGTGTTTAGGAAATGATGTTAAAAATTGTTCTCGATTTTTTAAATAAACGTCGTTTTCATTGACTCGGTAAAAAGCCTTCAAAAAAAGGAAAAATACATGAAAAAATAGAGATTTATAATCTCTCTATCTAAATCACAAAAGTTTGTTTTTGAGAGGGTGACTTGGCTTTGATATTATGTATATAATCAACTAATAAAGTGATATAATGTTGCATAATTAAGTGAAAGTACTTGGTTAATTATGCAAATTAAAGCCTTTCCTCTTCTGTTCCCACCATTTGAAGTCATCATTTATTGTGGGATTGGGTGCCACTAAAACTTGCAAATGGTCTCTTTCTCTCTTTTTTTTTTCTAATGATTTAATTTGATGAATAACTTGAAATTTGGAGTGTTACTTGCATTATTTTTGGGGTAACTTTGGAGAATTATAACTGTCATTACCAACTGACAACTCTTAAGAACAATGTCAAACAGACATTATTTCTTTATTGTAGGACCAAATTCCCATTTTATTTTCAAGTTAGAATGATTTTATCATAGTGAAAAATATTAAATAAAAAAACATAATCTTATCATTTTTGTCTGAGGTTCTAATTCCACCTAAACCATGTTGAATCTCTTGAATTATTCTACTTACTTCTTCGTCTTTTTCTTTTTATTAATTATTAAATAACATATAATATGATCATATTTATTTTTAACATCTAGAGGTACAACAAAAATTAAAATAATATCTACCAAAAGTTTATAGATTAAAATTAAACTAAGAGTTGAAGGCTTGCTACGCATTCCCTTCCCTTTTGATCTTGAAAACTACCAACTTTGGGAAGCTCGGACTTAGGTGGCTGACGTATATGAAGGAACCTACATAGAGAAAGAAAAAAGATTCGACGCTTAAGTCAGTCTCGAAAGAATAATTTCGTGTATCTGAAAAGTGAAGGGGGGCGTCTCTATCTAATAGATATATTGAACTTCCGATAGCGGTTGAGGAGTGGTTACAATCGTCCCGCAAATCACGGCGTGTTATCAAAAAGATGATTGAATGGTTTTGTGATAGAGCTCATCCTTGTTGGCTGAGCTAACTCTTATTGGTCCATGTCGTTTCTTTTATAAGAAAAAATAGTTTTTTTCTCTCTCCCCCAATGTGTTATCTTTCTTCCATCCGTCAAAATTTTGTAGTAGAAAATATTTCATTGATGAGTAATCAGCATTGGTAGAGAAGTGCTCTTAAAAAACGAAATAGAACTATTTGTTTTTCCAATCAATTGAGAACATCTTATCTAAACAAAGTAAGAACGCACGAGCGTGATCGACGTATACCAACAATAAAAAAGAAGGATAAGATGCAAAGACAAACTTGAAAAACACACCAGATTTGAAATGATAAAACTGAAATTTTCTTAGGCTCAAGTTTTAGTATGTGGAGCATTACATTTTGTTGTGAAATTGTGATGATGAGAGTTGATCAGCTTTTGTATCCAACAAGCATAGCATATACACATATGAATAATGCATGTACAATATATTATTTCTGTCTAGCAAAGCCAAAAATATACAAAGTGGGATTTCCCCCAAAATCAATCAAATCCATTTGCTTTTTGCACATTTTATTGTGCGCATGGCAAAGGAAAAATGGAAAAGAAAGCCAAGGCACCAAATTAGTTGGAGAGCCAAACAAATATTCCACATGCATGTGAGACTTCCAACAACAACAAGAGATCACATCAATGTGTGAGATGTAACACACTAGACAAAGAGTTGTGGAGAAGGTTCTTGTCAAGAATAATATATTTTCTTAAAAAAAATATAAATTTATCACAACTCATTTGTTAAACTTTTGCTGTAAAACAGTGGCTTATTTCATTTTTCTCTATAACTTTTTAAATATTACGTATTAGTCCCTAAACTTTAAAAGAACCATTTTAACATAAACTAGGAATAGACGGACGCATAATAGTGATTAGGTATGACATTTTCGAAGAATGAATTTAGAGGTTGTTCTTACGAAATTACCACTGCAAGAATTAACAATAACAACCAAAATTATATTTCCTCTTATACACAAAATATCCGAGAGCACCTAACAACCAAAATGAAATAAACACGAAAGATGACTAGAAATAGAATTGAAACGAAAATTTTACGGTAAGATGAGGAAGAGAGAGAGGGAATGTTTGCAAGTTGGGAAACAGGATGGGTCCGAAATCCATTGGGCATATATTAGGCGAGTATATTTGGCAGCACAGCAGCACCATGGGCATGGGGCTAAGGCAGTGAAGCTCAAGTGGTAGGGTTTTGGTCTGTCAAAGTTGCAACATTTGCCATCATTTCTCAAAGCATATAAGGATGAGGGAATTGACCCATTTTTGGGACAAAAGTCGCATGCAGCAAAAGCATTCTTGTCTCCAATGTAATCTATTATAATGCCACCTTTTTACTCATCACCTGATCAAATCTCTTGTCAATATTATCTATATTAATTAATTTTCCCATTATTCTTTTTCTTTTCTTTTTTAGAATTTTTTTTTTTTGAATATTTGGTCATTAGTAGGTTTCTAGATGCACTCGTGTGGGAAATCAGTTTGGTTTCACACCTAAAGTTCGCATGCATGTTGGAGAAGGCCATGAATAAGAATAAGATTGCTGAGTTGGAGGGAATTAAAAAACCACATATATATTGAAATCCCAAGATCCCATCAACTTTAAAATTGTGTCATTAATTATCAAGATACGTAGACATTACCTTACCAAACTTAAAAGGAATTTTTAATTTAGATATTTAAATAGTTGGTCATTTCTAAATTTTCTAGAATCGATACCGTGTAGCTTACGCTGTGGATTCCTTTAACCTGGACTCATTGCCTAAATTGAGTAACACAGTGACTAGCAAGCAGCACCTGATGGTAGGTGATACGTAAGGCCCAAGGCTCTTGTCACTCCGAGTCATTCCTCAGGAGACCTATTTTAGTCATTGTATTTTCAAAATGTCTATTTTGGTCTATGTAGTCTTAACTTTTGTTTATTTTGATCTTTATACTTTCAAAACGTCTGTTATGGTTTTGTACGCTTTAAAAAGGTGACCATTTTATTCGTCTCTATAATTAGTTCTCAAACTTTGGATAAAAAAACTATTTTACTCATTAACACTTTTCTTTTTATTGAAAACCCAACATTTAGTCTTCTATACATGAATTCAAATATTTAGGTACAATCGACATTATTAGTTAATCACGTAAATGAACAAGAAAATATGTACTCATGTTATCTTGTACTTGTTAAATAATTTACTAAAATGCAAAGTCTAAGGACTAAACAAAAACATATAAAAGTTGAGTAATTGAGGTGCAAAAATCGAACTAATTTTATTAAAACATATATTATCTACCAAAAATTGGAAAAGATGATGATAGTGGTTAGGTTTGAAAAGGGCATAATATCATTAGGGGTGTTGGCATAAATTACTTGAAAAACAATCGAAGGGCAGAAGCCAATTTGACATAATCTCAGCCAATAAACTTTTTCTTTTTCTTTTGTTGTTGGAGTTTCTATGGCCTTTTGGTTTGACATATGAAGGGCCACTCCACTCGTGAGTCTTAACCACAATATGGAAAACATCTAATGAGGACACACATCAATTATGAAAAATAAAGACAAACCAAACGGACGGTGTTGATCTCTCTTCATTATAGCTCACATTAATTCCTCCTCTATCCCCTAATTAACACTATTCCAATCAATCATCTTCCTAAATCATTATTAAATTTTAAAGAAAGCAAATATAACTGAAATTTCGACTTCTAAAAAAGAGTTATATATACAGACGTAGAAATATGGAGATTGAACTTCTAGCCTTCTAAAAAAGAGTTATATATACATGTATGGTGTATTTATGCTTGCCAAAAAATAAAAGCTTTCCAACACACTTCGTCACTTTTTTTTTGTTTGACTTATTGATGTAGTTTATTTTTAGTGTTTACTATTATTCCATTTAATATATATAAACGTCTGACAAATATTTTTAAACTTTTAAAAACAAATTTGCATTAAAAAGTTCATGAGGACTACTACTACCAATATATGTATAGGGAAGTATTGTTTTTAATTTTTATTTTCTTCAACTATTGATCATTGACCTCTTGATTTGGAGGGATTCTTCAGCCAATTATGCAATAACAATCTCAGTGACTTATTAATACAATCCTATATTTTTAAAATATTTATTTTTGTCTATTTATTTTAAATTTTTATTTATTTTAGTCACTTAATTTTCAAAAGATTTGTTTTTGTTTCTTGTAAAGAAAATGATCATTTATTTCTATTAATATTTTAGTATGACACTTCATTCACAAAATTTCTTAAAATATAATTATAAATATGCATTAAATAGTTTTTATTGTATATAAAATTTTTGTTAAAATTCTACGTATAATAATCAAAATGGTCATCACAGGAATCCAAAATATATAAATCAAAACCAACGATATAACTACGAACACTCAAATAAAACAAAGTCGAACCTGTTAATTCCATTATGTGTTTAAACTTTTAAACTTTATTTTTGGATGGAGGATGATGGACCGCTCGATTTGGGGAGGTTTCTTCTGAGCCAATCATGCGACAGGAACAGTAGCTGATGATAAACTGACATCCACAACATCACTTGACAGTTGTGACCAACCATCTCGATAGGATGGTCATCAAGCTACCTGAAAATTTCCCTTTTTTCCTTTTTTTTTTCCTCTCTTTTAAAATATTATTTATTTATATATTTATAATTAATGCGAGGCGAGTGGGCATTGGGTTTTTAAACCAAACAAAAAGGAAAAAAAAGAATGGTATTTTCAGTTTCCATAATTCTAAGTTTGGGAAAACTGATGAAGGAAACGCTACGATACTTGGCAGGAATCGCAGGCCCCAGTGGATATGGCTCCAACTCCACTGCCGAACAAGTCACTCAAAATTATTCTATTTCTTCTTCTTCCACTTCTCATCCTCTTACTGCTATAATCACTGGTAATTCAACAGTCTTTTTTTTTTTTTTTTCTTTTTGCATGGCTAGACAGAATTTTAATTTTCACGTTAAATGTCTTTTCAGTTTTGAATTCAAATTAATTTTTGAAGTGCTTTAAATCTTTGTAAAACGTCGTTGTTTTGGCTCCAAAGAGTTTATTGAATTTGATGTGTAATTCTTGAAGTTTGGAAGAGGCAAAAATCTGGTGGCTCAAAGAGTTTCTTTTTTCTGAGAAACTTGAGGTTTTCTGTAAATTTTGTCTAAGTTTTGCATGGATAAGTTCAGACATCACTCTTGTATTGTATTTATGATATAATATTCTAAAAAATTACTTGGGAAAAATGGAAATATTTGGACTCTTTTTCTGGGAATTTATTATTTTGTGGTTATTCATTTGAGGCTCTCTTTATAATTTTTTTTCTTGAATATATATATTGTTTTTGGGGTTGGGTTTTGAAGGGGCAACTTCAGGAATTGGAGCAGAAACAGCAAGAGTATTGGCAAAGAGAGGGGTGAGAATAGTGATGGCAGCAAGAGACTTGAAGAAGGCAGCTCAAGTTAAAGAAGGGATTCAAAAGGAAACCCCTGAGGCTGAGATTATTGTGTGTGAGATTGATCTCAGCTCTTTGGCTTCTGTTCAGAGGTTCTGTAATCAATTTCTTGCTCTTGGACTCCCTCTTAACATTCTCATGTCAGTCTCTCACGTCTCTCTCTCTCATCCATTATTTTTCACATTATTTTTAAAGGAAAACCAAAATTAAATCAAATAAAATTCTCTCTGTATGTATATATATATATATATATATATCTGTGCAGAAACAATGCTGGAGTCTTCTCTAAGAATTTGGAGTTCTCTGAAGACAAAGTCGAGTTGACATTTGCCACAAACTATTTGGGTATATTTTCCTCAATCTCCTCCCACACTTTAATTTGCAATTTATATATGTCTTAAATCAGTTGAATTATATTCTGATTGCTAAATATTATTTAATTAAATCTTGAGTTCATGTGTATTAAGAATTTGAAAAAATAACCAGGTTGGAATATTTTATCTTAAATCAATGGAATTTGGATGTTACATCAATAAATTTAAAGATTGTGTTTTAGGGAGGGGAGGTTGCGTTTGAAGCTCCATCACAATTAGTATAATCATAAAAGTTTGACCAATATAAACAAAGTGTTAATCCCGCTTGAAAGTGATGAATTAGGATTAAGTCCATTTTGGAATTTTTTTTCTTTTTTTTTTTTCCTTTTTCCGGTGGGAAAAAAAAGGAAGAAGACAAACCGACCAGGTGTAAAACCATATATTTACGAGACCAACAATATATGGTGGCGTATCTGGCGGCGGGGCCCGCCTTGGGAAAATATGCACCAAAACCAAATTAATTTTAAGAGAAGTGAAACCCGGGGCGGGGCCCCGATCCACCAACCCGCTCCATCCGTCTCTTTCAGTCCCATGTTATTTTTCTTTTGAATTACTATTCAAATTTCAAATATGGTGTGTGAATTCAAATGTATGATTTTTTTAATTTGTTAATATTGAGCTATGTTTAGGTCCGTACTTGTCATAATAACAAGAATAGTTAGTAAAGATAAAGTTGAGTTTGATAAGGATTTTTCTTTGTTTTTTTTGTTTATAGTTCTAAAGTTGAGTTTGATAAGAATTTCTCTTTGTTTTTTTTTTTTTTGTTTATAGTTCAAATAAGGGTGGGGTAGGAGTTCAAAAACTTTGGGGAGAGATTTATAAACATTTTAACTGGTTAAATTAATTTCGGTTAACAAATTTTCTAAGTATTTTAGTTTACTAGTTAAAAAGTCAACTTGAACGTAATTCAACTGGTGAATTACTTAAAAATATATATCATCGAACAAAAAGTCAGAGGTTTGAATCTCTGCCCCACATATTGTTGAACTAAAGAGAAGAAGAAGTTTACTAGTTAAAATAATTTTTTTAAAAGTTGTAAAATAAATTAGAGTGAATTTGAGATGGTTTTTGCGAGTAAGGCCCTTAAATTCTTTTCTAATTTCAACTACGTACCCAAATTGTTTTCAATGGAATAAAAATATTTGTCATTGTTTTTTTTCCTTGAGTTCAACACGGGTGGAGATTCAGATTCAAAATTTTAATCCTTGAGTCATAGGTTGTTCAAAATACTTCAAACAATATATTCAAAGGATATTTTTGACTGGCTAAAAAGATATAAAATTTCGTCGATAACATGAATAAACAAATTTGCTTTTAACGTATGATAGACCTCGTCCTTGTATAAATGGAATTGACCCACTTTTTTTTTCCCTTCTTTAAACGAATTGACCCCCTCCTTCCATATTGAAAAAACTGCCTTTTAACAAGCTTGGCAGGTGTTTCAAACTTTTTGAAAAGTCTCTTACCACGTAATCCTTCAATTTTATACGTGAAATTTGTATTAATATAAAATAAAAGAAATTCAAATTATCATTAAAGATAAAAGTATTCAACTGATAGATTAGCTAAGAGTATGTATCTTCAACTAAAAGGTTTAGAAAAAAAACTCGATAGAAAAAATAAATATAATTTTTTATTCCTGGCAGGGCACTATTTTCTGACAGAGACGCTGTTAGAGAAAATGATAGAAACAGCAGCCAAGACAGGCATAGAAGGAAGGATAATTAACGTGTCTTCTGTGATCCATTGCTGGGTGAAGAAAGATGGTTTACGCTTTGGCCAAATGCTCAACCCAAACAAGTACAGTCCAGCAACATTTCTTAGTCTAATTTTGACTCTGTTCCTATTAAAGAAATACCAGAGTTCTGGATTTACAGATATGCAAGTGTTTCATTTGCAGCTATAATGGCACTCGTGCATATGCTCAGTCAAAACTTGCCAATATTTTGCATGCCAAGGAAATGTCAAGACAACTTCAGGTATATTTATCTCATATCATTCGCATTCTTAAAAGTTCAAACTAAGAGTAAATATCGATCGACTCCTAAGGAACAATCTAATTGGGAAGGACTTGAGATCTTTTGGTCATACTGATTTAGAGATCTTAAGTTCGAACCTTTCGGTGAGTTAAATACCAAAAACTTTTTATGTCTCCTAAGTCCAAGCCTTGGGATAGGCACATGAGCAAAGCTCCGACTCCAAATTATCAAGAAGAAAAAAGTTAATATCGATCAATCAGTGTTGATTGTGGCACCGACCATTCGATTTTGGTTGGTCAAAAACTAAAAATATTATAAGTTTTGTACCAACCAACTAATATTAACGTGAAACGGTGAGAGGAGCATTTTTTTTAAGTTCAATAATAAGTCCATATGGCACTTTTCGGCCACTCCAACCACCTGACGAGTCGGCTTTCTTTTTTAATTTTGAAAACCGACCTAACCATATGTGGGTCTAAACTAACTGACCAATGTCAGTCGGTTTCAATCAGTTTTTCGAATTTATTTGTTCATCCCAACTTAAAAGTATCATTTTCCTTCAAATTCTCATAATAACTAGCTAGCTAATAGCTACCAAGAAAGACGAGCAATTTAATGAGAAATGGAAAAGGTTTCAATGACTAACCCAGAGGTTTTTTGTGGTGGAACTTGGCAGGCAAGAAATGCCAGAGTCACCATTAATGCAGTGCATCCAGGAATTGTAAAGACTGCAATCATCAGAGCTCACAAGGGCTTTATCACGGGTAAGAACCATATTATTTCCTGCAGTTTCACTATTAATGTGTTCCTATGCAATATGATTAGTGTAAAATTCACCCTTCAACATAAGCAAGAGAGAAACTGACTTCTCAGACTTTCCCTGTGCAGATTCCTTGTTCTTTATGGCATCAAAGTTGCTAAAAACTACAAGTCAGGTGCGATTAAGCATAAGCAATAAGTTCCCATTTCTCCATAACCCCCCAGACGAAGAAGAAACATTTCCTATTCATGATTTGGTACTTAATTAACAGAATACATGAATGGCTATGCAGGGAGCATCAACAACGTGCTATGTTGCTCTGAGTTCGCAAACAGAAGGAAAGAGTGGAAAATTTTATGCAGACTGTAACGAGACTAACTGCTCAGCCCTAGCCAGTGATGAGTTAGAAGCACAAAAGTTATGGACTAAAACTCACAATTTAATCCACAGACGACTAAGTAAACCGGCCAGTTAACCAAATATTATTCAACATTTGTATAAATTCCAGGTTTAGATGTGACGTACATAAGCTTGTTATTTCACAGTTTCATAGATAGAAAATCAATTTAAGGAATACCTGAAAGATACAAGGGCTACAAAATCATTCTCCCTTCAGGCCTTTTCAAATAATGTATTGCTCAACTTACAGTAAACTGAAATAATAAAAATAGCCAGCGTAATGTATTCTTCTTTCTCACGAGGAAATTATCTGCAATAAGAACAACATAGCAGACAATAATTGAAATGGAAATAAATGAAGCGAACGTATCTATAAAAAAAAGTGATTCTTAAATCTGTATGAACCAACTCGACTCCATAGAGACGCGAACTTCCACCTTTAAGCTTTCACTAGTAAATTAGCAACTGCACAATCTTTAACGTTAAGTTTGAATGAAGTCATGAAAACATTACATGTAGATCAGAAGGATCAAAATACTAAGCATTTTATACCATTGCGATTATCACACCATGCAATACATCAAATCATAACCTCGTGTAAAATAATGCACATAAATTAAAGATCAGATACAATGAGCATACAACACAATCATATCTTCTTCGGCTTCAATTTTTAAATATGGAGCATTCACATCGGTCAGAGAAGTTCTGGCAAATGTTGAGAACAGGACCCCACATAAACGTCAGTTGTGAAGCAATTCATCACGTCATGAAGCAAGGCTAAGCCCGTCAATCTAATACATGTTCAATAGTAACCTCTATCCTTATTTCCTGACCTGCAATACATGATGCATTTCGTTAGGAATTGCATCTTAAATAACATTTTTGTAATGTGCATAGAACAAAAATAAAGTAAACAACTTGCAATGCATAGAAGTTTCAGTGTTCTCTTAATATCATTATACCAAAAGAATCCAAAATCATAAGCAGCAGACACCAAACATTTAGTGCACCTTAAAACGAGGAGACCGGCGCAAAGAAAATGCAGATCCAGGGGATAGGACAGCTGGTTTCTTTCCAGATAGAATTTTCTTAGAGTGCTTGTTAGTTTCCTCAAGTCGAACCTGGTTATCAATTTCTTGAGTTGAAGATTCACTTCTGTCAGTTGATGATGACAAACCTGGAGCTGACACAGAGATTATTGTTGAGTCTTGATGCAGAGACAATGCCTGGGCCCCAACTCCTACCAAACAACAAAAATAAAACAAACAATGAATGCAGAACAAATTCAACCTAGCCAACTGCAAGAAGCACAAAGGAACTTGAATAACCCTAACGAAAAGTCACAAATTCAATGGGTACCTTCTGCTGCAATCTCCTGAAACCTCTGTCTCATAACCCTAACGAACTTGAATAAACCATTTGTTTTATTCAGTTCATGTATCAAGTCTTGAATATCTTGCAAGGATGGGTTACAATCTAACACTGAAAAGTTTAAAAAGAAAAAAAAAACCCGGGTTGTTAGAAGATAATGAGCATGGAAAATCAACATATATTAAATGAACATAACTTACACGTATAAGTATCACTTGCATGACGGATGGTAAAAGAATATTCTTTATCAGGAATGTTAATATTGATTTTCTTGAAAGAGAATTTTACCCCTGAAATGCCGAAAATACTTGTTAGGAAATTAGTCCCAAGCTTTCACTAAAAAGTGTAAAGGTTATTCAAAAACAAAATACTTTAATAATCATACCACGTCCTCCTTCAATATGGAAATCAAGAACCCTATTGTACCAAGAAATAGCCTCTTGTATTTCACTTCTGCAATCACTTTCTTGGGTTTCCTTGTGTTCAGATGAAGATAAAGCTGTTGATAACATTGAAAAGAGAGAAGTAATCAGTTTTTGCATCGAGCTACTGCATTTGGATTTTGGAGTTAAGATTGCACATTGCAGCATGCATTACTATTGGCTTTCAAGGAAGACATTTAGCTACTGGCTGGAAGATGCATCAAAATATCATAAACCCAGCAACCTAAAGTAATAAGCAATGCTGAGAAAAGATGCATCCAAATTGTTGGTAACGACGTATTCATCTTTGATTCATGTGAAGTTTGCACAAACAAATATTAGGTCTGAAAGGATTTAAGGGCGGCTAGCAAAAAAAACAGACCTAAGAGTGAGCACTAGCATGAGGGCAAGGTAAAACAAATGAAGTTTACAAACATAGTTTACCTAAGGATTGCTGAGATATAATTGTAGAATATTCATCCCTCTTTGCTTTGCAATCTTGTAAAGTATTCCTCAGCTCTTCTATTCTAGATTTTGAAGCTGCAAGGGAATCGGTGATTGCCAGCCGTTTGGCCTCTTTACGAGTCTTCACTACAGAAATATGTAAATAAAATAGTAACAAGCACTTACGATTTGTGCTAATTTCAAAGTGATGAACATTACCAACAGCAACCTTTCACCTACAACTTGTTCCAAACCCAAAACACTTAACGTTGAAAAAGATTCTATAAACAAATCCAGTTCAAACATAACTCAATTTTTAAATGTCACTTCAAATCAATTTCAATCTTCAACGGTGTAGTATGTTCTACCTCATGCAGCGTTAAACGGAAGTCGCATAGTCAAAACCGATACCTGCTAGAGCTTTAACCAATTCATCTTCCGCCTCCCTCAGCCTCGCTTTCAGTTCCCCCAGTTTCCCTGAGGATTCGAAAAAGAATTAAGGATGAAATGGGAAATTTCAAAGTAAATTTGCCACTCCAGAACCTACACCTCCTCAGCCCTCTAGAATTACATTCATTTTGACTAAGGGAATCGCCACGCCCCACCCATCCCAAAACCCTAATGGTGACTCCACAAACACTTCTACCACCGACAACATCTTTCTACCGGACACAATAAAACGGTTTCGTATCAACTCTTTCCTGAGTAAATTGAAAGGGATAGATACCTCACCTTGACTTAGGGCATTTTCTCGCGACCTTACAGTGATCGATTCCAGAGATTTGCGAAACGAATCCGCAAATGACTCCATCTTTTGCTGCTGAACTGGAATCTCCTTCTCGCGAACCATTCGCAGCGACTCCATCTTCACGCGAATAGAATCCTCCACCTTGTTCTCCATTCTTTCACAGGGCAGAGGAGTTGCTCACACACTTCGCCCGCCAAATTTGCTTCAAAGTTCAAAATTTCTTCCTTGAGAACGACGATGTGGGTAATGGGTTATGAAATGATTATCCGAAGAATTCTAAGTGCATCTCATTGGGCCTTGGGCTAACCAAGCAACGGCTTTTTGTGCCGAAACTGTACCGGCCCATTTGAAATGTTATGTCGGCCCAGAAGCCCAATTTTAAAGTTTTCCTAAAAATTTTAAATTGAAATATTATATATATAAAGTTAAAATGTGAAATTTGATTGAACTTCTAAAAAATTCATAGCTCCACCTTTGGTGGCAATGATGTTAACAAATTTGTTGTCAAAATTTTTAAAATAAAAAGTTTGTTTTTTATTATAATTTTCTATGTGGAAAAGTCTAAAGCATGTTTGGTTGAATAATATGAATGTAATGATAGGAATGAGTGGAAGTTTTTACCTAAAGAAAAAGGTGTAAGTTTCTACCTTGACTTACCATCCAAAGGCCAATAATAATATAAGCAAAAGTTGAAGCTTGGTCCAAAAGAGACAAAATGAAAACAAAAGTTGATTGGTAATGTAATCTAAAACTCTCCATTTTGAGAGCCGAAAGAAGAAAAGCCAAGGGCTAAAAAACAACCTAAAAAGAATTGAATGGTCAATTTATAGACCCTTTTGATTAAAACCCATAAGAAGAAGAAAAATGCATAGCCATCAAGGAAAGAATCTTTTCTTTGATGTATTTTATAACAATAAGAGATCTCTTGACGTTGTTCACCATCTCTTAGCAAGTTGGGAAGGACGATTCTTGTCAAAAATATTTTAAGAACTAGTGTTTCCTCCTCTTCCCAATTATATATAGAAGGTTTACCTAGTAAATCTTCAATTTAAGTTGCTATAAAAAATAATAATAATATTTTGTTTCTAGTTCTTTTAGAAATATATGTATATGGTAGTTTCTCATTTCTCATTTTTAAATGAAGGATTCTAAAACTGTAAATAAAACACGAATTATTAAATCCTTCAATTTAATAAGGGTAAAACAACATTTTTCAATACTAAAAAAACTGTTCCATAATTTCAATTATATATATTTTAAAAGCTTAAAGTTTATACATCTACTTTAATTTGTAATGATATAGCTTTAGATTGTTAAGGAGAACGGTATCCCAAGTACCCCGAATCTCCACAATAGTATAATATTGTCCGCTTTGGGCATAGCCCTCACGGCTTTACTTTTGATTTCACCCAAAATACCTCATAGGAGATAATTGTCCTCTCATATATATCATGAATCACCCATTACAATTTTCTATACGGATTAATTACAAGAACGTAACCATTATAATTAATAAATTCAACTATAAAAATAACTGTGAAGTACAACAATGATCGGTATAATTTAGCCATTATTAAACTAATTATGTGACAAAATAATTAGTGGCCAGAGTTTAAAAAATATATCCCATATAAATGCAGTAATTAAGGACATTTTTCCGATTTATGAGGTATGGTGTGGAGCCAAAATGGGACATCCACGCAGAAAGGGAAAAAGAAAAAAGTTACTTGGCTGTGAACTGTTTGACTTCCAAGCAGCTACCATTCATATTTCATATAATTGAGGGCATCTTTTTTTTTCCCCTTTATTTAATTTTTAATTTTATCACTGGGATTGTATCTCACGTTTGCTCAATTATTGCTCCAAAACAAGCAATCAGATTTTAGACTTTTGATTTTCCAATTTTATAAATCAATTCTCAAGTTGATACATGCAATGGTTTCAAAAAGATTAATAAGTTGAAGACAAATTGTTATTAATACAGTCTAATAAAGTAAATCTTAATTAATTTGAACTTCTCATCTAGAATTCAAATCTCCCACTTTCATACAAAGCATGTCGAGAATGACCTGTACAAATAGGTATGAATTTGATTTTTAGCTAACTATAAAGCAACATCATTTTATATGATTGCATGAGAGTTCAAGATACATAGCTCCAAACCATCTTAGTCGTGTCTCAAAAACAATAATGGAAAATTTGAAATTCCCCCATGAAATTTACAATTATTGAGACATCCCATGTTTTTACATGGATGCAAAGAGAGCTAGGAAATCATATTGACAAGACCATTGTCCTAACACCAGCCTTACCCAAATTCTAGATAGAGTTATGCAAAAATATAGTTTTCTTTTTTATATATTTGTGAGTGTTCGGACCAGTTTGTGCGCACCTCGACTAATCTTACGAGACAACCGTCTGACCCTACTACATTTGGTTGTCGAAGTAACTTGTAGGGTATTAAATCCTAGTAGGTGGTCACTATGGTTTGAAGTTCCCATTCACTCTAAGCCTTTTGCTATTTAGGTTGGTCCTTATTGACCATTAGACCACACCATAGGAAATATAGTTTAAAACATGCATTCCCTGAATAGAAATTAAATCACTTTATATCTAAGAAAAAGAGAATAGTTCAAGATCATTTCTTTTTGAACTCATAATTAATCACATCTAAACCAAAATCAATTGAAGGCTGTTGCTCCCCTTTTCAAAATTTGATTTCATGAAGAAATGACAGTAAATAGTACAAAAGGAGAGAGAGACTTTGATTCACCAAAGGCTGTCCCAAGTCAAGCTTTATTGGCCTTAAAAATGACCCCCGACCCCCACTTGGAGGAGAAAACAAACATAAAATATAAACAGAGTGATTAAAATAAACATAAATCCACATCATGATCACGAGATATGCACAAGGAGGGTGACTTCCTTCTATAATAAAACCCAAAATCCAAATTGTGATTCCAAAATTTGGATTGGATTGGCCTTTTATTTATTCTATCCAAAATCACATGACACCTTCAAATTTTCTACTGAAAAACCTCCCTGTGTGGAATTTCACTTCATCATTTTGTCACAAAAATAAAGTAAAATAAAACAGGGTCATGCAGCAGATTCACAGGCATTAGCATCTTTTTTCCTATTATATATAAATTCTTAGATCCAAACCTCTGTCTTCCCTTCCGAGATCTGTTCATATATCCTAGATTTAGGGTTTGGCCATGTGAATGGTTAAGGATTCAAATCCGTTAATCACTGATTCTAATATTGCCAAACTTGAGAGGATAAAGTTGGACCAATATTTTTCTCTTTTTTTCTCTTCCAATGGAAATGAAGGAATTGGGATTTGTTTATTTGTTTTTGGAGGAGGTTGTAGAAAATAGCATGGATCAGGGGAAGCTAAGCCAGTGGACAACTAAGGCCCAACAAGAGAGATATTTTAGTACCAATAACAAAAACCTCAATTGTTTTAAAAAAGAGACCATCTACAAGACAAATAAGAAATAATAAAGGATAATCATTTTTGTAGAACTGTACTCAAAACATAATTGCACTAAATCTTAATTGAAAAAACAACCCCCCAAAAAATCAGCCTTACTAAGGATAAAAACGTGAAGGAAAGCAAATAATCACTCATATTTTTGGGAATAGTTAGCAGCAACAACGCTATCACATAAAGTTTGGACTTGGGGGCCATAATTGTTAATACGACCTGGTTGGCTGAAAGCAATGCCAGGTGACAAAATCCCCCAACTTTTTTGATATCCGGCATTTAATTCACCCCATTAGGCCGAATAACTGTTTGTAAAAAGTTCTCAGAGGACAATTGTTAAGTGTGCAAAGTCACTTGCCGTCATTGTGATTTGTGCCCGTCTCTCTCTCTCTCTCTCTCTCTCTCTTCGACTTCTTTGAATTAAAATTTAAAATACAGTCTTCCACCTTCCGCCCACCTCTCCTCTTTATGAATAAAAAACTGCAAAGGAAACGCCAACCAAAAATTCCATCTCCCTCTGCACCCCCATCATGGCCTAGCTGTTCTTCTTGGATCCCAGGATTCTGGGCATTTGAATTGTTTTTTGCTTATAGTTTATAGAGACCTAATTTAAGACATCGTAGACCGCAAGACATGATTTGGCTTCTCTTGTTTTTGGCACTCCCTAGGCTCAAACCCACTTTCCTGTTTCTCTCATTGGAGTTTGTAGTGTAGTTGTAATGCCTGTAAATTCATGGACCCTCCCCTCAGCTATCCTAATTCTCTGTTTTTCAGTCTTCCCTCTCACAACTTCCGCCATTAACGAACAGGGTCAAGCTCTACTCACTTGGAAGCTAAGTTTTAATGGATCAAACGAGGTGCTACGTAATTGGGACCCCAACAACGAAACGCCATGTGGGTGGTTTGGAATCACTTGCAACAACAACAGAGAAGTAGTGGAAGTAGTATTGAGGTACGTGAACTTACCTGGTGAAGTTCCATCGAATTTCTCTTCACTGTCATCTTTGAATAAGCTCGTCTTGCCGGGAGCAAATCTCACTGGTTCCATCCCGAAAGAGATCGGTGCTCTTAGTCAGTTGAGTACCTTGGACCTCAGTGACAATGGCCTCACTGGAGAGATTCCAACTGAAATAGGTGCGTTGCTAAATCTCGAACATCTTCGCCTCAATTCGAATCATCTCGAAGGGTCAATTCCTGCAGGGATCGGGAATCTCACAAGCTTAAAGGAGCTGATTCTCTTTGACAATCAGTTGAGCGGTGAAATTCCCAATAGCATAGGAAATTTGAAACAGCTTGAAGTGATTAGAGCTGGAGGGAACAAGAACTTACGAGGTTCTCTGCCGGAAGAAATTGGAAACTGCAGCAGCTTGGTAACCCTGGGTCTGGCTGAAACAAGCATCTCGGGCTTTCTTCCGTCTAGTCTTGGCCTCCTCAAGAAGCTTCAGACATTGGCAATTTATACTGCCCTTCTCTCCGGCCAGATACCTCATGAACTTGGCGACTGCACTGAGCTCCAAAATGTCTTTCTCTACGAGAATTCGATCTCCGGCTCAATCCCAAGCTCGTTAGGAAGGTTACAAAATCTCCAGAGTCTGCTACTATGGCAGAACAATTTGGTCGGCGTTATACCGCCGGAGCTAGGTAGCTGTAACCAGTTATTAGTCATCGACGTTTCGATTAATTCCCTGACGGGGAGCATTCCTTCAACATTTGGGAACTTAACGTTGCTCCAAGAATTGCAACTGAGTGTAAATCAATTATCCGGTGAGATCCCCAAAGAGATCGGAAACTGTCCGAGAATCACTCACATCGAGCTTGATAATAACCAATTCACCGGTACGATCCCCTCCGAATTGGGAAATCTCACCAATCTGACATTGCTGTTCTTGTGGCAAAACAAGCTCGAGGGAAGTATTCCACCCACCATTTCCAACTGTCGCAATCTGGAGGCCGTGGATTTATCACTGAACGGGTTGACAGGTTCAATTCCGACGGGAATTTTCCAGTTGAAAAAGCTATCCAAGCTTCTGCTCCTCTCAAACAATCTCTCCGGCGTGATACCGCCGGCAATAGGTAACTGTTCGTCTCTATTTCGGTTCCGAGCGAGTAACAATAGGCTCACGGGAGAAGTTCCGCCGGAGATTGGGAATTTGAATAACTTGATTTTCCTGGACCTCGGAAACAATCGCCTCACTGGAGCGTTGCCTCCGGAGATTTCCGGGTGTAGAAACTTGACATTCCTTGATTTGCATTCCAACTCCCTAGCAAAATTTCTTCCAGAAGAATTCAACCAGCTTTCTTTCCTCCAGTACGTTGATCTCTCAAATAATCTAATCGAAGGGACGCCGAATCCGAGTTTTGGATCTTTCAACTCGCTCACGAAACTCGTTCTCTCAAACAATCGATTCTCGGGGCCTATACCGACTGAAATCGGTTCCTGCTTGAAACTACAGTTACTAGATTTAAGCGGCAATCAACTCTCGGGGAACATTCCACCGAGCTTAGGCAAGATTCCTTCACTTGAAATTGGTCTCAATCTGAGCTTAAACCAATTAACCGGCGAGCTTCCGAAGGAGTTTGCTAATTTAGACAAGCTCGGGTCGTTGGACCTCTCTTACAACCAGCTCTCAGGCGACCTCCAGATGCTGGCGGACATGCAAAATCTCGTAGTCCTCAATGTATCACACAACAATTTCTCTGGACGCGTACCAGAGACGCCATTCTTCACGGAGCTTCCTCTGAGCGCTCTCTCCGGGAACCCGGACTTGTGCTTTTCTGGCGAAAAATGCTACGCCGATAACCACAGCGGAGCCTCTCGCCACACGCTAGCGGCTCGAGTGGCCATGGTGGTGCTACTGTGCACGGCCTGCGCACTGCTACTAGCGGCAGTTTATATCATTCTGAAAGACAAACATTCATGTCGCGGATGCTCCCATGGGTCCCGCGACGAAAATCCAGAAGCCGGCTTCGACAGCGACGTGGAGCTTGGCTCAGGCTGGGAAGTGACTCTGTACCAGAAGCTCGATCTCTCAATCTCCGACGTAATCAAGTGCTTGACGCCGGCCAACATCATCGGCCGCGGCAAGACCGGCGTCGTCTACAGAGCCTGCATCCCATCATCAGGTCTGATGATCGCCGTCAAGCGATTCCGATCATCAGAGAAGTTCTCGGCGGCGGCATTCTCATCGGAAATCGCTACATTGGCAAGGATCCGGCACCGGAACATCGTCCGATTGCTAGGGTGGGGAGCGAACCGGAGGACGAAACTGCTGTTCTACGACTACTTGCCGAATGGGAATTTGGGCGCGTTACTACACGAGGGAAGTGGGCGCGTGGGGCTGGAGTGGGAGAGCAGATTCAAGATAGCGTTGGGGGTGGCGGAGGGATTGGCTTATTTGCACCACGACTGCGTGCCGGCGATCTTGCACCGGGACGTGAAGGCGCACAATATTCTGTTGGGCGATCGCTACGAGGCGTGCTTGGCGGACTTTGGGCTCGCCCGGTTGCTTGAAGATGCTCACAACGGTTCGTCTTCAGCGAACCCCCAGTTCGCTGGCTCTTACGGCTACTTTGCACCTGGTAACGCCTTAATTAATTACTATAATTGCATATTAATTCCACTTTATCATATATTATCTAAAAAAATTAATTATGATTTTCCGATAAATTTTGTAATCCTTACATTTCTACAGATTTCTTTTTCTTTATTAGAGCAAGTGGGAGAAATTAAACCTTTTGTTGGGTTATATTCTTATTGACAATAGTATATAAAAAAGATTGTACTTTTGTGTACTTAATTCTTGTATTTTAGAAGTTTGAATATGTTTGTTTTGAATTTTTTCTGTTCCAAAAGATATCTAAACACTTTGGTTTTTTTATCCGCAATCTTTCATTTTTTACATTAATATACCCTATTAAAAAAATAATAATTGCAAGTTGTTTGTGGACTGTAGAGTCACTGTCAGCTACAAGGGGTGTACTGTAAATTGAGGGATAAGAAGGAAATGGAACTAATAGGATTATGACTAGTGTGAGGGTGAAAGGCAAAAGAAATTAATAAATTTCATTTTAAAACATAGGTATATTTACAACCATACCTTACAAATTATAAGTGCCAAGAATCGTAACGTTATTCTCTTTTTTGAACTTTATACTATATCTATGAATTCGAAGATTTTGAAGGCTCTATTTATGATTGGGCATTCTGCAGAATACGGGTGCATGTTGAGGATCACAGAAAAGAGTGACGTGTATAGCTACGGCGTCGTTTTGCTGGAGATAATAACGGGCAAAAAGCCAGCGGACTCGTCATTCGCGGAGGGGCAGCACGTGATTCAGTGGGTGAGGGAGCATCTGAAGAAGAAAAAGGACCCGGTTTCGATATTGGATCCGAAACTTCAGGGTCACCCGGACCCGCAGATCCAGGAGATCCTGCAGGCCCTCGGAATTTCCCTCCTCTGCACCAGCGACCGCCCCGAAGACCGGCCGACGATGAAAGACGTGGCCGCTTTACTACGCGAGATCCGGCAGGACCAGCCGCCGACAGCGGCGGAGGCCGCCGACAAGCCGCCCAGGAACAGTAGCAACGCGACAAGCTTGGACACAGCGACGTCGTTTTCGTCCTCCTCTTCCACGGCTCCTGCGAGTCAGATGCTTTTGTCGCTGCCCCTCCAGGAGTCGTCCCGTTGCTCTTACGCTTCGCTGTCGTCGTCGGGCGCGTATTTTCCACGCAATCAATGATATTTTTACTTTTTCTTTTCTTAGTTCAATTTATAATTAGCTTCTGATTTAAGCATTAGGAAGGAAGATTAAGATTAATTAATGTATTTTTGGGATAATTAGAAATGGTAATGTAAAGGATTTAGATCCCCTCCTTTTTTTCCCTTCCTTTTTGATATATGGACCAAAAAAAAAGGAAGAAAATTTTGTGTAAATTCGTTATTACTTTGGAGGATGTATTTTTCTTCTATGGTGTCTTTCATAACTCTGTTTTATTGCCATTTAATCGGTTTATATTAACAAAGGCAACTTGATTTCTTACGATATTTGTTCCTATTTATTGTTTATGTTTCTTCATTTTTAATCAAAAAAAATAAATTACAAGACTCCACGTCATGAATCCAGGTGTGGTTAAACATATTTTTATTTATATTTTGGAACAAATTAGAAATGAAAAAAGAAAAAAAGAATAAGTATAGTTAGTTGCAAGATATCAAGATTTCTTAAAAAATTAAAAACGAGAAATAAGAAACTGAAACGTTTCCAAATAGGTCTTTAGTGTTGGGGCAACTGACTTCTATATATTTCCACATTTTTTAGATAATAATACCATATTATCTCTTCAGATTTTAGATATAAATAACTTTTTAATTTTACTTTCAGTTGCAATCAAAAAACTGAATATCAATGAAAGCATCGTATCGTTCACTTCATACTTTCGAATTTTTCTATTTCCTTGCCAATATGGACTTTCATCGAACGTCAAGTTTTTCTATTTCCTTGCCAATATGGACTTTCATCGAACGGTCAAGTATTTTGATTACACGTAAAAAAAATGAGAGACACGTCAACGTCAAGAAGGAGAGAGGAAGAATTAATTGATGAGAGTGGGGAGGGGATATTTGGAATGGTTGGATGGTAAGTCAAATTATAAGTGAATAATTGATCATCAAAGTTGCGTCGTTTTGGAAAAGGGCTAAAGGCTTGGTGGGCGTGTGCATGTTGGAAGGTTCTATCGGATGATTTGATTGCCTTTAATTTGCTTTGCAATTGTGAAAGAGAGGAACAATGTGCGGTAGTGGAGGAGAGAGGAAGGCTTATGATTTTACATTTATCTCCTTGCTGTGCAATCATCCTTGTTTTTGGGATTAAATTGCTAAAAGAAAAAAAAAATTATCACTTAATATCAACCTATAACTAATAAAATGAGTTATACATTCATGATTCTCAATTTAGTCTTTTAACCTTTTTAATTATTACATTCTACTCAAATGTTTTTAAATTTGTCAATTAAGTCGTTTTGTTGAAAAATATTTTTAAAATTAGTTCATAGAGAGTTTTTTTTTTAGTATAACATGTGAGGGTAAGGGATCGAACTCACAATCTCATGATTGGAGATATATATAAATTACCGCTGAGCTATGCTTGCTTTGGCGTTTATAGAGAGTTGATGTGTCCGTAAATTATTGTTATTATTCTTAATATATTAGACATGTGGGTATGTCGCATGGAAGAAAAAGACTTTGTTGATGAGTCGGTAGAGTTTTGTTAATCATCAAGTTGGTTTCATATAAAAAGTATCCTAGACATTCACGTCTCTAAATATGTTAATTAAAGAATCTAACTCTTTTTTGTCAACAAATTTTAATTATTTTTTAAATGAAAGTACCTAACCTTTTTTATATGTTTTAATCTAATGTTTTATTACCCGTATGATATTAATGACCCGTTTAATAACGTTCCCTTTTCTTGTTTTCTTGTCTCATTTTTTTTAATAAACAAAAATATAATTGCATTTGGTAACTATTTCTTGTTCTTCATCTCTTTATTGGAAAAATAAGGAAGCTTTTTTTTTTCTTTTTTTAATGAGAACAATAAACAAGAAACAAGAAACCAACTTTTTTTTTTGTTCAATTTTGGGAAGGTTTCTAAAGAATGAGAAATAAAAAACATAAATAGTTGTTAAATGCTTAAGTTTTTCAATAAACCTAGAAACACGAGAAAGTTATGGTCCATTTGGTTACATTATCATTTCTTGTTTATGTTTCTTATTTTTTAATAAAGAAAGATAAAATTGCATGGCTCCCAACAACCGATACAAGAATGATGAAACAAGATTATTATTTATGTTGAAACAAATTGGAGAACAATAAACTTGTTTTTGTTTCCAAAATTTCTATACAAATTTGAGAATGTTTATAAAAAATGAAAAACAAGCAAAAACAAGTAGTTGTCAAATACTTATATTTCTTAATAAAATTAAAAACGAAAAGAAATGGAAATGTTTCTAAATGGGTCCGGATCCTAAGTAATTTAAAATTACAAATAATAAGAATAAAACCATTCGTCAAAAAGGGTGAGATGCTATATGTTTTTATCATAAGTTAGAACATTGTTATATGATAGAGAGACGCCAAAATAGGTGGCCAAACATAATTTATGGAGCATGGCCAAGTTAAGATACTCACATGTCATGATTAATGAATATCTAATTTGAATTCTTCACAATAATAGCGTAGTTAATGCTAACCAAGCCTAAGATATATATTAACTTTCTCAAAAGTCATAATCCAACAATCTTAAAATATTATAGCGTTACTGTAAAAAAGTCTAATTACAAATAGAAAAATTTATATCCTGCCAGATCTTGAATATAATTAAACAATAATTGACATCTGTTATTTCTTTTGGATAAACGATAATTGACCTCTACTATTTTTTTTTTTTAAATGTTCAAACTTCGTGTCTCTAGTTTTGTATTAAAAGAAAAAATCCTAAATCTCACTTCTACTCATTAAACACAGATTTTTGTTTTGCAAAGAAAAAAAAAAGAGAGAGAGAAAACCAATCATGTGGGATGAAGGCAACGACGTCGTGTCCCGTTGGCATGTCCGGGAGAGAAAGCGGAGACCAACTGCAATGGCTTTGTTTAAAGATCGGCACGTGCGACGCAGGGCCATCACGTGGCGCACATGCGACCACCAAAGGCGCAGCCTCTTTCGCAACCAAATTTTTACTGGGGCCCACACGTGAAATCTACACTTTCTAAACCCTAAAAAATAAAATTAAAAAACAGGAGAAAGCAAGATTCCCCCGTCTTAAAATTCCGTGCATCCCTCCCCAAATTCCCCAACTCCACGTCATAAGGATGGGCCCCACCTCATAGAGCAAACAAAGTACAGAGCTTTATAATTATTTATTTGATCTTTTTTCAGATAAAAATACCATTTTCTCTCATAAATATGTACTGCTTTTTTCAAATTTGTTACCGTCTTGAATATTTTTTAGTTTTATATATAGATTTCACAGCGAAGAGACTGTCCAGTCTGATGTTCCACATTCCTTTATTTCTCTACGATCAATCCTTGCAATATGTACAACACAACCATTCACTAGCAAGAAGAAAAGAAAACACAACTACATTTCAAGAGAAGAAAGCACTTGAAAGGGTTGTTTAGAGAAGAAAGGCCCTTACAAACCATTGCACTGACTGGTTTCCACTTCAGTTGTAAAGATCATCATCATCATCTCCAGCTATGGCAGAAGAAAACGGGTCAGCTGCAATGTTATCAGTTCGGTCGGGGAACCGAAATTCAGATCCAATTCCGCGAGATTGTTGTAGGGTCTGAGCAAAGAGCTGGTACTTCCTGATGTCTGCATCACTGACACTTCGACGAGCAAACTTCATCGACTCCTCGAAATGTGCTGCCTTTATCTCTGAGACTTCGTCGATGTCGTCGTCTTCTTCCATGGCTTCTGGGTTTTCTCTTTTCTTTCTCTCCTTCTCGAGATCCTAATACCCATCAATGGATAAAACACAAGTAAATATGTATAGTTGCAGAGAAGTTAAGAGTGTGTTCGGTAATATCATGAGGCAAATCGATTAATTAAAACAATCCACCTGGATTAGGAAATTTCAGATCTCAATATGAAAAGTATTATCAAAACTCAAAAGAATCACCACCAGAGCCTAAAGAAAGTTTTTGGCAGAATTACAACTAGTTTAAGAAAAGGCAGAGTTCAGATGCTAGTGAAGATGCAAACTTTTTAGGGAATTACATCGGTTTAAGTTTCATGGCAGGAAAAAGATGTAGCTTCAGAAACAAGCTTGGGGCAGCCACAGTAGATGAACAGAACATGGTTTCTCGTTTCACAGAGACATTTATTTCTAAGCTTTTGACTGAAGAGGTCTGATATTTCCAATGAAAAAATAGTATTCCTGAAATCGTAGCCTCTTCAATTATTTTCTATTTTCAGCTTTGGCCTTATAAAGTGAAAGAGCAAATGGGTCAGCAGCTGATGAACAGTACGAGGATGAACAAAAATAGGGTAAATAGTGAGAAAAAAATGAAGAATATGAAGTCATTTGTGAGTAAAAGTAGAAATTTTTTTAGAATGGTCTAAAAGGGTTTTAAAAATAAACAAGTTGGTTAAAAATATTGCCACATGGATGACGTATAATCAAAATCACAATAGTCCTGTTTAATAACCATTTGTTTTTCATTTTCTATTTTAAATTAAGCTAAAAATACGACTTCATGAACATGTTTCTTTGTTTTTTTATTTACTTCATAAAATTTAAGCCAAAATTTGGAAACTAGAAAAAGTTTTCAAAAACTTGTTTTGTTTCTAAAATTTGGTTAGAATTCAAATGTATTTTTCTAAAAAAACGAAAAACATACCCAAAAATGGTTACAAGACAAGCCTATTTATCAAAAATAGAAAAATAAAAACAAAATAGTTAATGCCTAAATAATTCGTTATCCTTAATTTTCTAAATGTTCTACAATCTCCTAAAGAATGGCTGTTTTCACGATGCTGCCACATCAAATTCAAACTGTAAAGATTTTTTTTTTTGCAAATTAAATTGTAAAGAATACCTTCTCAATATTTTCTCTAATGGCATATTTGCAGGCACGCTGACATATTTCAGTGATATCGGCTCCACTAAAGCCATGGGTGTACCGGGAAAGAGCTGATAGATCGACATCTTTCGACACTGGTGACTTTCGCAGACATGCTTTGAAGATCTGAAGACGAGAAGCCTCGTCAGGGAGCGGGATGTATATTAATTGGTCCAGACGTCCGGGCCTAAGCAGGGCGGGGTCTATAATGTCTGGCCTGTTTGTTGCCCCAATTATGAACACGGTCTTCTTTGCAGTCATGCCATCCATTTCTGTAAGAAGTTGGTTCAAGACTCTATCTGCTGCACCACCAGCATCTCCAACAGAACTACCACGCTGTCAAATTCAAACTGATTTATCATTTTGTTAAACAGAACCTCTAATTAGCTACCTAAATATATATAATATATTTTAGTCCTGATGTTTTTTTGATTTAGTCCCTACCGTTTAAGAAGTTTCTATTTAGTGTCTTATATTTTAACCTTTTTCAATTATATCCTTCCAAAACTGGAAGATGGTAAGCTTATAGGGACCTTAATGAGTTTGCAGAAATTTGGAGGAAATAAACTAGAGAAAAATTTCTAATTCCTCCTCGAGAATTTTAACAGCAAAAATTTCAAATTTTCTTCTCTTACGTAGCCTAATTCTCTTCCAAATTTATGTTGAACTCATTAAGTACCATGTCATATAAATTTATCATCATCCGCCTTTAACATACCGAGTAGGAGGGTATAATTGAAAAATGCTAAAAGTTAATTGAAAAAACACTCCAATATAAGCCAAATTAGCTCATAGATAAATCAAGGCATACTTTTGAAGAATAGTGACATTTGATAAAAAGCAAAAATAATGCAATGCCAAATATATATTGAAGTTTGAACAATTAGTACCTGAGTTGCTATGGAATCAAGTTCATCAAAAAATAGTACACAAGGAGCCGACTGCCGAGCCTTGTCGAATATCTCTCTCACATTTGCCTCACTTTCACCAAACCACATTGTCAGCAACTCAGGTCCTTTCACACTTATAAAGTTGGCTTGGCATTCATTGGCAATTGCCTTAGCAAGCAGCGTTTTACCACAGCCAGGGGGCCCATAAAAGAGAACACCTTTAGATGGTGACATGCCAAATTTTTCAAACTTCTCAGGATGCTCCACTGGATATTGGACAGTCTGCCAGAAAACAGCCACATATAGACAAGCTCAGAGTCAAAAGAAACACGAACAATCTGAGAAATTAGAAACACCACCAGCTCAAAATTATAAGTTTGATCATATAAAACAACGCACAAACCTCCTGGAGCTCTCTTTTAACATTGTCCAACCCACCAATATCATCCCACGAAACGTTCGGAACCTCCACAACCTAAAAGCAAAAGGCTTGTTTATCAGTATTGATGACAGAGTACTCAGTCGGAAAAGAAGGCAACCAGATGCAAATTTTGTTGGAATGTTTTTCTTCAAGAAACAGAAATGTAAAAGTTGTGGTGTTCCTCTCACAACAATTCTCAACAGCTTAATTAAAATATAGTCATTTATGAAACACAACAGACATGCTTCATTCCTATAGCCTATATTCTTTTGTTGAATGCTCATTAGGGAAGAACTATAGAGAACAAAATAAGCCTGGTTAACCACAATATCTAGTGAGATATAAACTAGATTTTCCTCAAGAAGAAATATTAGGAAGTATAGACTCACAGTTTCGCGCAAAGCTGAAGGATTCGAAGACCCTAAAGCAGTTTGGAAATGCTCATTGGTTACGGCCATGGAATTCAATACCTCAGCATCAATTGTTTCATCCTCCAAATCAATGACATCCATTTTCTCCCGAATACACTGGAGTGCTGCTTCAGTGCAGAGAGCAGCAAGATCTGCACCAACGTAACCATGGGTGTCCCTTGCAACTCTCTCAAGATCGACCTGGCACAAACAAAAAAATTGCATATGCAAAATATAATTATAGACAAATAATGTGAGATGACATTAGATAGTCTTACATCCTCTGCAAGTTTCATGTTCTTTGTATGGATCCTAAGGACTTCCAATCGTCCTATTTCATCAGGTACACCAATATCGATCTCCCGATCAAATCTTCCAAACCTCCTCAAAGCAGGGTCAATGCTATTAGGTCTATTGGTAGCTCCAATAACAATAACGTGTGCTCGAGTCTTGAGGCCATCCATCAAGGTCAGAAGTTGGGAAACAATACGTCTTTCCACTTCTCCATGTGTTTTCTCCCTCTTTGGAGCAATGGAATCAAGTTCATCAATAAAGATAATTGAGGGGGCATTCTTTTCAGCTTCCTCAAAAGCCTTCCTCAGATTGCTTTCACTCTCACCAGCTAACTTCGACATTATTTCTGGCCCATTAATTAGAAAGAAAAATGCACCAGTCTCATTAGCAACAGCTCTTGCTATAAGAGTTTTTCCGGATCCAGGAGGCCCATATAGCAATATCCCTTTTGGAGGCTTTACACCAATTGATTTGAAGAGTTGTGGGTGTCTAAGTGGTAATTCAACTAGTTCACGAATCTGAGCCATTTGCTTCCGGACACCCCCAACGTCATCATATCCAACTTCATTTAATCTCTCCTCATCCTCGCGTTTTATGGGCTCTCCCTCACAGAAGATCTCAGTATCAGGTGCAACAACACAGTATTCACCAGGGTCTGTCTCTATGACCTTGAATTCAACAGTTCTCATTCCACCCCTGACTAAAAATAGGTCACCCTTCCTCACCGGTCGATATGCTTCCAAGAAATAAGCTAACAACAAGAGTAACAATAAATCAAAATCATATTCCAATAATTTCCCGGAAAATATATAATCGATAAGCAACGGAAGATAATAAAGTATAACCCTCACGTTTCAAATATGCATCAAATAGGTTGCCAGTAACACCCTCTATTGTATCATCAATGGGGAGGACGTGAACCCGTTTTCCATACTTCACATCAGGACACTGATGGACAGACACGACATCTCCAAGACGAACTCTAAGATTGGCTCGTACAATTTTATTCATTCTGATTTTTGGCTCTTCACATTGTTCATCAGCAAGAACAACACACACTGTATCTCTCCGCTTCTTCCCCTGTATAATCGTAAAACCAATGCAAGTAAGATTAATTATCGTTCTCACAGGTAAATGGAACTGTTTGTCAAAACAAGCACGGAAATCACCTTCAATAAAATAGTATCTCCTCTAAAGAACTGCAGCTTTTCCATGGTAGCAGGATGCAAAGAAACCACAGAGTTATCATCATTGATAGCCTCATCAACAACTAAACGATTGGGAGACTTCTTGCGTTCCAAAATTGCAGTGGAAAAATCCCGTTTAGTGCTTTTCCTATTTTCAAACAAAAAGATTACTCATCTCCTCAAAACGTCAAATATAGAAACTCACCAAAAACTTCAATTTCTTGCTCGTACTAATTTGAGCTTCATATCCTTAAAACAATTGTAATTGTAAAGAAGAAACAATTCGTTTGTCCAACTTCTTTCCCAAGTATAAGAACTTCTCACCAATAAGCAAACGATTCGGAAACTTGATTGATTGGTCAGTTAAGATGAGTCAACTATGCTCTTCAGTCATAAATATTACATTTACACAGACTTTTAGCCGCATATTATCCCAATCCCCGAAAATGCTTAGGCTCCATCTTCTCTCTAACCTAAATTCAACATCAGTCTATCTAGAAAGTGGTAAAAAGACAGTAACCAAAATTTCCTGAACGATAGTTTCTGAAATATGCATAGTTCCAAATCTTCTCTTATCTTACTTTAAATACTGCTAAAATCTCCATCAACCTAGCTTGCCGTTTAAAACCAGGGAAAATTCAGTTCAGGTAATAATTCGCTTGAACAATCAAGATAATAAACGAAAACTTACTGGTCCGGTGAAGAAGAAGAGGATGCCTGGACCTTATCTGAAGCTGATGAGCCCGTTGGGTCTGTCATCGTTTTTCAGCCTTTTTTTCTTGAGCACCACAAGGGCTTCTGCAACTTATCAGACCATCGGTGCAATTCCGAAGAAAGATGCCAAGAAATAAAAAATCAATAAACCGCGCTGTCGCAAAGGTGACAGACAACCGAGATAGCCCGTTTCCATGCAAAGGTCGATTCCAATCAGTTCTCTCCACCTATACATGAAACCAATGTCGGGACGCCATGGAAGCAAAGCTATAGGTGATGTAGGCGCCATTTTTCAGTAGCAGGTGTAATCTAAATGATGACGTTTGAGAAATTGCGGTTTATATACTGTTTGGATCGCCGTCAAATTTGGGCCTGGCCCAACAGAAACCAGCCCAATTTCACTGCCTGAGAAAGACGGGAGGCACGGCTGCTACCGGCAGTGACTGTGCTTTGTTCTTCTGACTTTCTCTCACGGCCACGGCGGTTGTGATATCGGAAAAGCTCAGCAAAGTGAAGGATGGGCATCGAAATTTGTGGAACAATAGACAAAGTTAATGGAAAACAATTAAGTTATAAGGAATTTGTAGAACGGTACATGGAGAAGAACCGGCCTGTGGTGTTGACGGGTCTCATGGATGATTGGAAGTCTTGCAGCGATTGGGTCGACGAGAATGGGCAGCCGAATCTACAATTTTTTTCCACCCACTTCGGAAAATCTAGGGTTCAGGTACTATAATTCTGCTGGAAGACGATATTGTTGGTTCTGATTTTTCGTGCTCAGTTTTTATATTTTTGGTCTACTTTCATTTCAGCATGCTACTTTTGATACATTATAGTTCAAATACGCAGTATATGCTGCGGATTTTATTCATTTGAATAAGTGGATTGCTTCTTCATATATTTGAACATGTGGGGACTTCATTTCCTTAGTAGACATCATGAGAAGGATGAATGTTTCCTCGTTGCTTAAAAATTTGAACCTGTGGATAGCCTTGATGATTCAGAAGAATGCACCCACTGTATTTTCTTTTGGAGTTTGGCAATTTATTTGATCATTGCCTTTTTTGGCTCGATCCTAGACAATATCTTACCTTGGAACTTGTCTATTCATGTTCAACTACTCGCTTGTTGTTCTTTCAAATCAAACATCTACAGAAGGAAAAGTTAGAAGTCTACATTCCACTTTTTGAGGTCAGATAATCATTTGCCACTTCTAGGTTGCAGATTGCAGTACTAGAGAATTTACAGATCAGAAGAGAGTAGAAATGTCTGTTTCAGAGTTCATAGACCAATGGTATAAGGAGTCTGTACAGGAGCATGGCTTTGCTTCAAATGACGGACTTACAGAGAAGGCAGTACTGTATTTGAAGGACTGGCATTTTGTGAAGGTACCAGTAATAATCCCTACTGACTATGTCACATCTAATGGATATATCTGTCCATGAGGAACAACAAAGTGGAGGCCTCAGTTGGCCATAATTTTACTGCTTTCAGTGTTGAGACTAAAATGGTTCATTTAACCTTTCTCGATCATGTTGCCTTGTACACCTTAATTCAATCGAAACCATATTCATTAACAGGTGAAAATTTTCAGGATAGCATTACCATTGTTGTTTCTTTAAACAAAAAACGTTCAATGGTAGTTTCTTCTTATGAATACATCATACTGCTAAGTGATTGCATGGACCAAGTTGAGTGGCAATTGACAAATAATGTAATTATCTTAAATTGTCATGCTGGCAGTGATCTTTAGCTACATTATTATATTGTAGATCTTTATTATGGTTTTGTCAGTCAGAACATAGCTAGCTATGTTGTCTCACATGTTTTAATGTCCTTTTAAATCTGACTTGCAGGAATACCCAAATTACACAGCATACTCAACTCCACAGTTTGTTTGTGATGACTGGCTCAACCTGTACCTTGACAGTTACCGTATGCACAGGGATCCTGACTCTCACCAAGAGAAAGATGAAATAAGTTGCTCCGACTATCGTTTTGTTTACATGGGAGCAAAAGGTTTAACTTCATATAAAATTAGAGCACTTCTTTTTAATGTTTGTCCTCATCAAAACTTATACATGGTTCTTGATCAGGTTCTTGGACTCCACTCCATGCTGATGTTTTCAGGTCATACAGCTGGTCAGCAAATGTTTGTGGAAAGAAACAATGGTTTCTTTTATCTCCTCCTCAGTCTCATCTTGTATTTGACAGGCATGGACATAATATCGTTTTTTGTGCTTTCCTTTTAACTGATGATTCAATGTGTTTGATGTTGATCTTGTTCTTCTTTTGTAAATAGTCACCAGTATCTATTCTAAAGGACTTGTGAATTTTAACAACTAACTCTTTCGATCACATTTTTTCTTGAGAAGAGAAAAGTGGTGAAAAAGATGCAAAATGCTAAGCTGGAAAGAACCCACAAATTTTCCTTTTCCAAGGAATTGCGTTGATATACAAATTTGGTAATGACCATGATTGTTCAATAATATTCATTAGCTAGATGATCTTGCACTCTACATTTAGAGCTAGTCGATATTTCATAGCGTGCCTGTCCATTCCAATATAATCATCCTTTATATTTGATTCTTCTCATAAAGTTGTGGTACCACACCACAGTGACCTTTGGAATCCCCCACTCTGCTAAATGCATATATTTGGGCTTTGTCATTGTTTCGTCTTTTTCTAACATTTTGTTCTATACTTCAACCAGGAATATGAAAGCCTGTGTATATAATATCTTTGATAATATAAGTGAAAAATCGTTTCCTGGTTTTAAGAAGGTAATTGTTATTCCAGATGTTCTACCTCTTCTCCTTCTATCGCTTGAATATCAGCTTTTGCATGTTCATTTGTTTATCATTATGCAGGCTACCTGGTTGGAGTGTACTCAAGAACAAAATGAAATTATATTTGTGCCAAGTGGCTGGTATCATCAAGTTCATAATATGGTATTGTACTTTCTTTATTTCTTTTATATCCTTGTGGTGCAAATTAATTTTGTATATTGCATGGTTTTAGGTATCACTGCTTTGTGATTACCACTGGTACCTGTTCCGCTATGATAGATAGCTTGAATTGTCCTTTAAATTCTCAACTTCCATTCAATTATTATTTTCAGATGGATGCCAGATTCAATTCGCTTTTTCTTCTTTTTTAGATTTTTACTTAACGGTTGAACTTTAATGTTTATTCATATTTTTCATGTGCCCTATAACCAGTCTATCTTTTGCAATATGTCTGTTTCTCTTCAGGAAGACACTATATCAATAAACCACAATTGGTTTAATTCCTACAACCTCTGTTGGGTGGTAAGCACTGTTTTCAAGTGCTTACCTGTAACCTCTGTTCAAAAGAGGATAAATATTCTGATTCGACTGACCCATTTTATACTCTAAATTTATTCTCTCAGTTGGACTTGATGTCGCGGGATTATGACGAAGCTAAGGATTACATAGAAGACATTAGAGATGTATGTGACGATTTCGAAGGCCTCTGCCAGCGCAACCTCGCTGCTAACACAGGTAGTGTAGGTTTTGGACTAATAAATTTAATACCTTGAGCTATAGTCGAGCCTGTCTCTGAATTTTCTCCCAACGTTGTAACACCACGACCAGATTCACACAGTTGAGTCAGGAAACTGGCAAACTGCTCTAACAACTAGATCATCTTCTTGAATTCCAGTCATGAACACATTATCTCATTATCTATCTTAATTAATTTAGAACGGACATATACTGTCAAATCTTTACCTGCCATGTTGAGACTGGAGCTTCACTAGGGACCAAGCTCTTAACAACTCCCACTTTCTCGTTGTTAGGAGCTTCTGGTGGAAAGCTCTCTAAGATACAACACGAAATTATGAATTATATGGTATTACTAGTTGATTTATACAATATTTTTTTACTTTCAGGTATGAACTTCTACGACTTCTTCATCTTCTTGGCACGCTTTTCACTTGCCAATTCGATGCTACTGGAAAATCTAACCAGAGACACCACAAATGCTGCTGGGAGCTCATTTCCAATTGTTCAACAGTTGGCTCAGAATCTTTGTTCAATACAGAAGATTACTTCAAAAATGAAATCCATGGAATGTTTTTCAGGAGACCAAGGATTCGTGTTGGATCTTGGAGAAACACACAAAGATCCCAAGTTTTTCCAACTCTGTGAGTCTCTGTTTCAAACTTRTGAGTCCATACACAAACAACAGATTTCAAGTTTTCATACAACGACAATCACAACACACGACTCTAAAACTTCGAATGTCACTCGAAATTTTCGTGTTCCCGTTTCCTCTCCCCAAGATCTTGTCGAATTTATAGACACGGTCTTAACCAGACACAGTAGCTTACCTTACAAGGATGACTTATAGTAAATTTTCCATCTGATGATTTTAGATTCAGGAGAAAGAATTGTTCTCATCTCATACACAACTAATTCTCAAGCTAGTGAGAAATGAGAAATCTGAATGAATGATGACTGATGAGTTATCCCACTAGTGCTGGTCCTTCTGGCATTAAGTGACAAATCTTGCGTACAGATTCTCTCTCTCTCTCTCTCTCTCTCTCTCTCTCTCTCTCTCTCTCTCTCGATTCAATGGTTGCAGTGATTCAAAGAAAAAGGAGGAAAACAGAGGTTAGAAGTCTGTGGTATGATTTTGGAGTGACCCCAGTAGGGATCAAATTGTGGGTGCACCCACAAAAGAAAAGATCACTATCTTTTCTGGGCCTTTGCTTCTTTTTTCCTTGATCCGTCCCATAAAAGTGCTGTTGTAATTTCCTTTTTCTTTTGTTGCTAAAGCAGAATGTATTATTGAATGCTTTTTCCAGTTCTGGCCTGGCCACCCCACAAAGATGAGTGTCTGTGGTTCAACTTTAGAGTTGGCGGCACCAACCTGTGGCGTCCACTCCACTCTTCACCTCACCCAATTTCTCCATGTTCATCTCTCCCTCTATTCTCTTGTTTTCTTTTGAAGAATCCGTTCTGAACGAATCTTTTCCCCAACTATTTTGTTAGTTTTGATGTGACATGTATTGTATTCGTTTGTCTCGCAGTTAACGATGACCCGATGAAAACAAATGGGATCACTTTTTATGAACTCGTTGAGAAGGTTGGATAGGATATGCCATTTGTTTATTTATATGATTAGTATATGTTTACGGGATGAGTAAGATCTGAATGCATTATGCGTTTGATTTTAAAAAGAATCTAATATTTTCTATTTTATGAAATGATTGTCCAAAAATTAATGATGATGATTAAAAGGAAAGAAAAATGTTTTTCTTTTTCATTATTGTTGAGTTGAAAGATAAATATGTTTACTTTAATAAAGAAAAAAAATGTAAGTCATTAGTGCCAGATTTGTAGGCTTCTCCTTTTCCCGTTCTTATTCTTCTTTCTGTCTAATTGTTGTGGATATGTGTGTTTAGCTACTTGTTTAGTTGATCGTCTCTAGAGGGTATGCAATAAGTTTCGACTTTGTTTACAAATTTTATTAATTCTTAGGGTTAAAAGGAAAAATATCCGTAGAAGAAAAGAATTTGAAAAGATTTCCAAGTTGTAATGGCATTGACCATTGACCATTGACCACTGTCATTAATTATCGTTTGGTTGACTTTTGGATCATACTATTTTTTTAATATAATTTATTCACGCTATCTCACTACTAAGATTCTGTATGGTTATTTTAAAGATAGGCTGTTAAAAGTGGTATTCTTAATTATGCTTCTTTATTGCTCCCCACATGCAAATCCATGAAGTATGGGACCTTAATAAATTGAATCCTAGTGATGCATGTTTATCAAAAAATAATAATAATAATATTATTAATATTAGTGATGCACGACATTATGTGTCACTTTAATCAATTTAAAAAGATTACATCTTATCTAAGAGAATCCATGTCATCTTTGAATTAGGCATGAATAACTTTAATAATTCTGTACTAATTTTTTTTAATGATAATAAATATTGTTTTACTTCAGTGATAATAAATATTGTTTTCTACTATTTCAAAAAAAATATATATTGTTTTCTACCGTTTAGTTTTTTTATTCTTACTTCAGTTTTGTACTTAAAAAAAAAGCAAAATAATAATAATAATAATAATAATAAATCTTACTTCAGTTTTAAAGACAGTTTCACGATAGAAAATTTGACTGTAGACTTTACTTCCTCGTTTAAATAAGGATAAAACATCCCTATCACAATTTAGTAAGAAAACTCGTTCAATCTAAAACATTTCACAACAATTCAACTCCTAATTTTACAAATAGACACCATAAATTATTGAAGTGCATATATTTTTTCATACAATATAAATGAATTTTTAATGTGTTACATCTTCTTTACTCGGTTATTGTTTCTTGAATTGATCGTCGAGGTCTTTTAACAAACATCGTACCAAAGTTAAGTATACTATTTATTTAACATTTACCATCTCAAAGAAACCAACCTTCACAAATGGTAAATAAGTTTATTTCAAAATAAAACGATAAACTAAAAATAAAATAATTATGAAGCAAATTATTAATCAGGGGAGAATTTGGGAGAGTGGTTAACTTGAGAGGAAATCTTTTGGATTATTATGTTCAGCTTTTATTTTCCTTCGTGTGTTAGATTTGTCTTTTATATTTGTTTTGAACTCAATAAAATTGGACCCCATTACCCCCATAACTTTGAATACATCCTATTATATTCAAAATTTACAATATCCCAAAGTGGGGCCACAGAAGAAAAAAGAAGAAAGAAATCAAAAAAATAATTATAATTATAATTATAATAAAAGCACCCAAAGAAAATCCCCCCAAAATACAAAAAAGTAAAAATAAAAATCTCTTCTATGCCATTAATTATAATATTTTCATGGACAGTGTACATTTCTACCAGGACCACCATAGTAAAAATAATTGCCCCAAAGCTTGTTTTTTCCCTGTCTTATGTCATAGCAATTTGGATGATCAGCCAATAGATGAAGGTTTGAGACAGGAAGCAAACTGTTGTCCCAATCAATTATTTGCAGATTTCTGAAATAAGAAGCTTTCCCATAGCCTTCTTCTGCAAAATGCCCACTCCCCATTTGTGTTGATGTGTGGAACCCTGTTGATCTTGTGTTTACTATTTCTCCTCCAAATTGGATCATGCTGGCATGGCTTCCCAAGTGACTGAACAAAAATGCTGGCCAGTACCCTACCAACAGACCCTGCCCGAATTCCAGCCACCAGTTCCCGTGCCTTGGATCCTGCATCGAGAACCAACCAGTAAAAACGCGATACCGGACCAGCCATAAACTTAGATATCTTTGAAGTTACGGGGGAAATTATATTGAACATCTACTTTAGTTGTCCTTTTATGAGATTAGTCGAGGTGTGTAGATGCTGGTCGGGACGTTAGGTAAAATGGGGATGGTTTTTTCTAATGGGTTTGGAGGGAGATTGTGAGAGAGTATAACATTTGCCTCCTGATATGGAACCTAAAATGACTACTTGACAAAGAAAATCTTGAAAAATAATTGTGTGATTGACTCCATAAAAGCAAATAGTGGATTCCCCATGTGGATTCAACTGTTGGTTTGGAGGAAAAATCTCCCAAGCTTTCACAAGAATTTGATATCAGACTGAGAGAAACTCATGGAGAGTGGAAAGTAAGTCACTGGGCGCCAAACCAACAGTAAAGAACTCTTTGCTAAAGAAGAAGAAACAAAATTATCCTAGAGTACTAGTCCTATCAACGGCACAAAAAAGAAAAAAAAAAGAGAGTGAAAATGGGACGTTTGGATAATAGACCTCTATCACTCTATTTCTGTACGACGATATGATATTATCTATTTTTAGCTTCATATAGTTTTACTTTTGAACTCTATCTAAAAAGTTTCGGTTGGTAGAGATATTGTTCGTTTCTTATGCACTCAAAATCTTCCCAAATTTCAATTACTTGAAAAAGTAATATCGAGTTTCACCATGTTTACTGTCAAATTGCCCCACTTAAAACTAGACATAGAGTTTATTCTGCATTCACTCCATATTTTTTCACTTTTTTGGGTTAAAATTCATTGGATACTGAAGAAACCTCACCTTCCAAATCATTAAACCGACATCAAATTGTCTGCCATTGTAAGAAGATCTTGGAGATATTGCAGCTCCTATGGCAATCTTGTTATTAGTTTGGACAAAACCAGAACACAGTAAATTGTAGCATCCAGTTGCTTGGTATGCATCTGTCTGAAAAAGACAAGATACAGAGAAAGATAAGTTCAGAGAAACTCAGAATTTTCTGTTTAATTTCACTTAATCTTTGAAAAATATACTGTAAAATAAAACTGACCGTCCAATATGTGAAGAATCTTGGATAATTGTCTCCATATAACTCAGGACTGACCTGAATAAATCTCCATAAACAATACTCACAGAATTGTCCAACAAAACTGATGAAAATAAAATTAAATAAACAAGCTCTGTTTGAACTTTTTAGTTTTCTGCTTTTAAAAACTATATTTGGCTTCTTCACAATATCCTGAATACGTTTTTCACTTTTCTTAGAAACACATTCGAATTTGGCTAAACAGACACAAGCTTTAAAAACTTGTTTTTTTAAGTTTTTAAAATTTGACTTAGACTGTTAGAAGGGGGGTTTTTAAGAAGACCGACAAAGAAGTAGGATTTATAAGCATACTTTTCAAAAATGGAAAACCAACACCAAAATAGCTATGAAACTGACCAAAATGTCAAAATAAATGAGAGAAAAACATGCCTGCCAACCAGCTTCAATGGTGTTCAGATCATGATTGAATGATCCAGAAATAACCCACATTTGCGACAAGCTAAATTCATATTGATCGCTCACATGGGGTGCCCAAACATTTATGTTTGCTTTTGCTCCATAGTATTGTTCTCCATTGACAAACACAACAGCATGCTGTAAGAAATGCAAAGTCGAGTGAAACTGTCTGAAAATTGACCATTTTCTTAGAGCTCATAGAGATAAACTTATAAGCCGTTTCGTATTCTCTCAATTATTTGATCTCCCAGAAGGAAAAAAGGATGACATGTAGTGTAGGTTCCTAGCCTTTCAATGGATGAACAACAGCAGGAACATCAAATAATTTGGAGAAAAAAAAGTGACAAGACAGTTTTGTCTTATTTCCCAGATCAAGCAGCAAATAACCAAATCAAAATCCCATTCTAGAAATTCTTGAAAACTGGAGGGATTTGAAGAGGAAAAAGAAGAAGAGGAAGAGGAAATTACTGACCTCATGGCCGCTGCTAGTTGAATCTCTCCTGACAGATTTTAATGGCTTTCTACCAAATCTTTGAGCAGAGCTTGCTCTCAAAATGTCTTGTTCTGTGGTTCTTCTAATCGGAACAGTTCCTTCCGGGCAAAATTCTCCGGTCTGCCGCCATAGCTGCAATCTCTCTGCTATTGAATCGGCGGAGGAGTTGTAACCTTTCGGCCTCTCTGGGGGATCCTGAAAATTGAAATATAACTACTCTGTTTCTGTTCTTATATTCCCATTTTGTTCACAATTACGTCAATTTCCAGATAAATTAAGTTACCAATGGCCGCTGCCCTTTGAGCTTATGGTGATCAAAAGCTGGTTGAAGATGAGAAAGCACGCAATCGATTAAATCCCCATCCGGGCTCTGAAAATAAACAAAACCCAAATTCTTAAAAGTTCCATAAAAACCCCTTTGAGAATTTAAAGACAAGGGAAAAGGAAACATGCCTGAATCGTCTTGACGGCGGGTTTATTGATGTTCTCTAAGTAGGATCTAGCGGCGTTAAGTTTCTGAAACTCTGCGGCGGCGGGTTGGAAATTCTCCGCCGCAATGGGCGGCGCCGACAGGACAGAGGTGGTGGTGAGAAATAAGGCTACAAAAGCCGCTAATAACATTGAGAGGAAGAAAGGAGGAAGAAACGGCCAGTTCTAAGGAATGTTTTGGGGTGTCGTTTTGTACGTATTGGGGTTGTCGTATTAGTGCAATGAAAAAAGAAAAAAATTCACAGAGCTTAAGGCTTGGCTTCTTCTTCTCTCTGCTTCGAATTCTCTGCACGTCCTTACAAAACAGAACAAACCATTCTCTGAAGAAACAAAAGAAACCCCATGAATTTCTTATCAGCCTCCGCCATTTTTGAGCCTCTGTTTTATATCTTTGCTTGCTTGCTTCGAAAGCATCTTCGCTTCGTTAATGGCGTTTTCTGACACAGCGAGAAATTGGAGAGGCACCAGTTAAGGGCCCAATCCAGCTGCTTCGGTCAAAAGGCTCGAGAACCTAAAAAAATAAATGGTTTAAATGGTTTCTTTTTTCTTTTCTTTTTCTTTTTCGCAGGGACGGGAGAGAGAAAGTTGGGGTTTGAAAGAGAAAGAAGAAGAAGAGGCGGCCATTTTTGATGAATTGGGTGTGAAGAAAAGAGAAAAAATGGATGAATTTGATGTGGGTTTTGTTTGTTGATTATAATTTCAATTTGGGCTTTGCTTTTTAGAATTCAGGCGATGTCTGAAACAGAGACGGGAATCAACCAGACAGCCATGGCCAGGCCTGAATCTTTTTTAATGTTCTGTTATTTCACCTGCAAAAAAACTGGTTCCTCTCTGCAACTGTTGCTTTCCAGTACAGTTTCTTTTCCTTTTTCTAAAAGCATGAAAATTTTCTCCCTCTTCACTGCCACACAAACATTTATGCAATTTAATCTGAACATCCCACTTCAATTCTCTTGCCTGCATTTATATAATAAGCTTTTAAAATTGGGTTTATTTCTTTCATTTTAGGGTGAATTTGGTTAGAAAATATTTCAAATTTGGTTTTTATAATTTAACTGGAGGGGTCAGAAAAAATATTCTAAAATTTTATCTGGGTTGGTGCCTGAACTTTTTCTCCAAAAGCCCTCGATATATTTCCTAAGCTCCACTAATTTTCAAATAAATTGGAAGATAGAAAATTCAAGTTAAATAAGTTTATCACCTTTTTAAAGGTTCAGAAACTTGATACGCAAGTTAAATAAGTTTACACCAGTGAGTTGTTATCTATCTCTCTAAATACGAGAGATTAAAAAATAATAAATTATAGTAAATAACATAAAATAAATACATATTTATAAAAATATCATTTCTTTCTTCTTTTCAACAATATCATATCATAGTTTTTTTGTTTGGTCAAATCTGATTGTATAAATTTTCAATTTTGTCATTTATATAAAATTTTAAACTTAATTGCTATATATTAAATACTTTTTTATATTTTTATAATTATCTAAAAAATATATAATTTGTTTTTAATTCTATAAATTCAAATCTTCTGAAGCTGTAAGTCAAAGGTTCTGCAGGCATCAATCTAAATGTCAAAGGGCGTACATTCTTCTTCCAAATAAGAACTATTTTATTTATCTATTTTATTTTTTATTTTTTACAAAATTTATTGTAGTTTATAAAATAAATTCAAAAGCTTTTATCCCAGTGTATTTTCAAATATAGAATAATGTTGTAATACTATGTAATCTAGATCATGTTTCTAAATTCATTCGAATAGATTCAGTAAATATATGTTTGGTATTTTTAGTTTTTAAATTTATTTTTATACTTTGTGATTCAAATAATATAAATTTTATAAACAACAATGAAACGTAAATTACATTAAAAATAATATATAAATTTTGTTTAGATATATCCTTTTATATTATAAATTATTATAATATTATAAAATAATAATTCTATAAATTTTACAACATATATATTAATAAATTAATTATAATATTCGTCAAAATGAGTTTAGCTCAACAATAATTAACACATTTAGTACATGTCTATAATTAATGGGTCATAAGCTAGAATCTTTAAACACCCACTCACTAATACGATATTTCAAAATATGTCAAATTGCTCTATTTAAAAAAAATGATTGTAACATCTATTAAAATATATACATTAAATTTTACGTTAGGAAATGATATTTTATTTTTAAAATATATATATTTGGCAAATATTGATTTTATGTTATCTAGTGAAATTTTATATAAATTAAAAAAATAGAGTAGGAATATAATTAATTAGGAAAGTCCGATTATTTTTGTCTACGTCAAAGCTCGTTTCTTCAAAACATGTGTGATTTCAACTTTCAAGATGAGTTCATAATTTCTTACTATTTTTCCTTTGAAATTTTTATTATTTTATTGGTTTTACGTTGATTTAAACATTTGAAAACTCTTTTCACTTTTTCTTATTTATATAATATAAACTTTTATTTTTAAAAGATACGTTCTTTACCACTTGGTCAAAATTACTATGTTTTTTTTTTATCATGTTAGCAAACTTCAACACAATTTTTAAATCAACAATACTACTAAAAGAAAATAAATCCAAGTTCCCCTCCCCTAGACATGCTTCTCTTCCTTTTTCACGTTCCTAGATCAATTAATGCAAGCTAGATCTTATTAAAAAATCGCAACTTAAAATCTATATGGATAAATAAAAGTTAAATAAAAAACACTCTACAATGAGTTTGCTAAAGTAAAATAACACAATCTAAATTAAATTCAAGCTCAAATGTAATGCAATACACAGGGAAAAAAACACACATTTATTATATTTGATAAAAAAAAATTGTGACAATTTTTTAAACACGTTAAATTTATGATATGAAGTAAAAATTTTCTAAATTTTTCAACCTCATTCCAACGAGTCTAGAATGTTAAGAATATATATACAAATAATTTCATGTAACTAAATATTGTAGAATCAAGTTCAAATTAATAAAAATACGTGAGTTGGTTGAAATACTCACAAATAAAATAAAATAAAAAGCTTCATTAATATACAATTTGAATATGAAAGGAATGATCTCGTATTCACAAATAGTAAAAAAGAAAAAAGTTATTAAAGGCCGGTAAAATTGGATTTCTTTGTTTACCCTTTCTTAACAAGCAAAAAAAAAAAACAAAAAAACAAAAATGTACCTTTCACCCTACATGTTATGCGATTTATTTTCTTATTTATATTTCTTACTTTTTAGAAAATAATATTAATAAATAAAATACACCCATGACAACTGGTTGGAGCACTTCTTTTAGAAGCATAGTACAAATCTCTCTCAGAGAAGCACTTGTCAAACTTGTAAAAAGGGGGCTCGCCACACTCAGATTTCATGTCACTTTGAATTGCTGGGCTTTTAATTTTCCACATTTACAGCACATAGCAGGATTTTGCAGTTCAGTCCTTTTCTTTTTTTTTCTTCTTGGTCCTTCGTTTCCTTTAATCATCGCCCATGGTTATGCCCACAACCGAGCTGCCCTGCCCCTGCCCATTATTTGTTGCAATTATCTACCTTTTTCATACAACTCATCCCATGAGTATTCATGACCATATATTTTTTTATATATATATATTTATCGGTACTTTCAATTTCATTTTTGGGATATATTTTAGTTGTAAAAAAATCTCTTCTCATTCATCACACAATATCTGTACATGAGAAGTGTATTTAAATAATACAAGAATAACAGAATAACTCCCAATTAACAAACTTGCTAAATAAACAATATAAACCTCTAATACTCCCCCTCAAGATGGGCAGTAAATATTAACAAGGCYCATCTTGGACATAAGAGATCGAAAAATTACAGAAGAAAGAGGTTTTGTAAAACYATCAGCAAGTTGKRCAGCAGACCGAAYCGGAAGCAAACGCAGGAAACCATCTTGGACTCGATCACGAACRAAATRACAGTCCAACTCAATGTGTTTTGTCCGTTCATGAAAGACGGGATTGGTTGCAAGATGTATTGCTGCCTGATTGTCACAAAAAACTAAGGCAGGTAATGTGAAATCAACTTGAAGATCAGTAAGTAGATGAGATAACCATAACAATTCACAAGAAACAGCAGCTAAAGCTCTGTATTCGGCCTCAGCAGAGGACCTCGAGATGGTAGTCTGCTTCTTCGATTTCCAAGAGACTAAAGATGTGCCCATGAAGACACAAAAACCAGTGGTAGAKCGACGAGTATCGGGGCAAGAACCCCAGTCGGCATCAGCAAAAGCTCTTAGTTTAAAGGAAGAAGAAGCAGATAAAAACACACCTTGTCCCGGGGAGCCTTTTAAATACCGTAGCAAATAGAAAGCAGCAGCCAAATGAGATTTGCACGGTTTAGAAACAAACTGACTGAGTTTATGGACCGCATAAGTGATATCAGGACGAGATATTGTGAGATACAATAACTTGCCAATAAGCCGGCGATAGACAGTAGGATCATGAAGAAGATCCGAATCAGATAGCCGAAGAGTAGTAGAAGGGTCCATAGGAACAGCAGTTGGCTTGCACCCAAGGAGACCAAATTCTTCTAACAGAGTCAAAGTGTAATGTCGTTGAGACAATGAAATCCCTTTAGAACTTCTAGCAACCTCAAGACCAAGAAAATATTTCAAAGATCCAAGGTCTTTAAGGCGAAAGCGGTCGTGAAGCAAAAGCTGTAAAGACCGAATAATAGAAATATCAACATCTGTGATAACAATGTCATCAACATAAACCAGAAGAGCCACAAAAGAAACTCCAGTACCACGAGTAAATAAGGAGTAATCAGACTTTGATTGCTGAAAACCGAGACTTATCAAAGCCATGGAGAACTTAGCAAACCATTGGCGAGAGACTTGCTTCAAACCATAGATGGATTTGTTCAAGCGACACACCAAACGCTCTCCCTTAGGACAAACAATATGATTGGAAAGATGATAGCCAGGTGGTAAATCCATATAAACTTCTTCAGCAAGATCGCCATGTAAGAATGCGTTATTAACGTCCAATTGTATTAACGGCCAAGACTTGGAAACAGCAAGGGTAAGGAGCACCTTGACAGTAACCATTTTAGCAACAGGAGAGAACG